TCAATGAGCCTTGGCTATGGATTTATTCAGAGTTAAGAAAAATCATCTTTGACCAAGGGAGACCACCTAAGAAATCTCTGGTAGGAACAGATGGCCCAGATGTCTGAGTTCTTCATCCAGAACAGATTCAAGATGCTGCCTGAGATAATCAAGACTTACAGGATACTTCAGTCAGGACTTGCTCATAACTCTAAATTTTCTTTAGGTCCCCATAAGATTATCAGCATCCCCAACCAGCTGGAAGTAGCCTGGAATACTACGTCCACATTCCCAAAAAATGGACTATGGATATTTTCCTTTGTTTTTTTTTTTTTTTTTTTTTTTTTTTTTTTTAACCCCACCCCCTCCTTTGTTTTTTTAAAAAAGAGGGGGAAGTGGTGTGGGAGAATTGTCTGCATTCTGTCAATCATGTTTTAAATAAACACTGATTGGCCAGGCAGGAGGTGTAGGTGGGAAAACCAGACAGGAAGTGGAAATGAAGCAAAGAGAACAGGAGAATTCTGGGGAGGTGGAAGTTGATTCTTTGCACTCCTACCCAGATCACCAAAGCAGCAGGATGTGAGCTGCCTCACTGAAAAAAGGTATTGAGCCACAAGGCTAAAATAGATCAGAAAAATGGGTTAGTCAAGATGTGAGAGTTAGCTAATAAGTAACTTGACCTAATGGGCCATTCAACTTTATAACTTATAGAGATTTCAGTGTCATTTTTCTCTTGGACTAAACTGCTGGGGGGTACGGCGGGAAAGAAGCCCCAACAAGCAGGCCCCTTCATGTTACAGAATGGCGCAAAACTAAAACAGCTGAGGAGCCCTGGCAGGACAGAAATCCGAACAAGCAGGCCTGGCCCCTCATGTTACAGAATGGCACCCAGCATGGATAACTGAATCCACACAAAGCCTAAGAAAGCTTGGGAAAGACTAGAGTAAAGCATTTTGGTTTTCAGCCATAGCAGGAAGAAAGCTGGGCTGTTTTAAAATGTCGGATTTCTGGGCAGTCCTGCCAGGGAAAACTCTGACTCTTTCAAGCAGGCAGTCCGGACTATGGAAACACTGTTGCAGCTTGCTTCCTGGCAAGGACCTTGAAAAACCTTAAGAGCTTTTGACTGTTGTTTTCTCTATATTCCTTAGCAAATTGAAGACCCATGTGATCAGAAAAAGAGATATACAGTAAAGAGAGATTCAAAGAGTAAGAAAACCTCTAAATGGTTTACATTGTGTTAAAAATATATACAGGCTAAAGGTTAAAGTTCTCAGAGTAAAAAAAAAAAAAGAAAGAACGAGTAGCCTGGGAGGCAGAGACAGACGGATCTCTGGGAGTTCAAAGATAGCCTGGTCTACAGAGGGAGTTCCAGGACAAAGATACGCAGAGAACCTGTCTCAAAAAGCCAAAAGTTAAAAGTAAAAATAAAAGAAATAGAGGTTAAAGTAAGGCCACATAAAGATGGAAAATACACAGAAAATCTTGATACTGTATGCTATTATGCTCTATTTGAATTGTTTAAATGCTGAGGAAGGAACAACAGCTGCTAAAAGATATTTGCTTATAAATGCTTCAGAATTAATTCAAGATAGGTATTTTGAAAATAACTTGGCTTCAAAATAGAAGTCAAAAGGTACGTTACTTTGGAGAAGAGATTTTGCTTTTGTTTCCACAAAAAAATGAGAGGCTGTGGATTTATTCAGAATTAAGAAAAATCATCTTTGACCAAGGGAGACCACCTGAGAAATCTCCAGTATTAACAGATGGCCCAGATGTCTGAGTTCTTCATCCAGAACAGATTCAAGATGCTGCCTGAGATGATCAAGACTCACAGGATACTTCAGTCAGGACTTGCTCATCACTCTAATTTTTTTTAATGTCCCCATAAGATTATCAGCACCCCTAACCAGCTGGAAGTAGCCTGGAATACTACGTCCACATTCCCAAAAAATGGACTATGAATATTTTCCTTTGTTTTTTTTAAAAAAGAGGAGGAAGTGGCGCTGGAGAATTGTCTGTATTCTGTCAATCATGTTTTAAATAAACACTGATTGACCAGGCATGAGGTGTAGGTGGAAAAACCAGACAGGAAGTGGAAATGAAGCAAAGAGAACAGGAGAATTCTGGGGAGGAGGAAATTGATTCTTCCCACTCCTGCCCAGCAACCGAAGTAGCAGGATGTGATCGGCCAGCTGGAAAAGGTACAGAGCCATATGGCTAAAATAGATCAAAAAAATGGGTTAATCAAGATATGAGAGTTAGCCAGTAAGAGGCTAGAGCTAATGGGCCAATCAGCTTTATAACTTACGTAGTCTTTTGTGTGATTTTCTTTTTGGGGCCAAACAGCTGTGGGAACCGGGCAGGACAGAAAACACAAACAAGCAGGCCCTTCATGTTACAAGCCTTGATGGCCATGACCTCACACTTTTGAAGGAGGGAGAGCAGGTTGCAGTTTGCAACACATTTGTTTCCCCCATTTGATTGGCATTAAATAATCATTCCCTAAAATACACATGTTTCTTCACTTTTCAGATTCGTGTGTAATTACCACATGTGCTATGGGGCTGTGCTGTGATTTTGCAGATGGGGGGACTGGGGTGAGGATTGCAGCATCAGCATTCATTCCACAGCTTAGTGCCCGAGTCAGGAGTTAAGTCAAGATGGAGCCTTAGACATGGTGCACTACTGACCACGCTTCCTTACAGGAGTTATTTTTTTGTCATTAAAAAACCTTTTTTCACTCTTGGATTCTTCCTCTTTCATCAGCATGGCTTTAGCTTGAGACAGAGAAACAGTGAGATGCAGGACCAAGTAAATGTCCCCTGAGCCACAGGCCATCAATGCTGGGGATCTCTTGATCACTGTGAGGAATGGTCCGGAACTTTCATAGACAGTCAGGAAGGGACTCCAGACCTTTATAATAGGGATCAAGACAACCCCATCCCGCCATCTCTAACTCTTAAGAACACAAGCAGATCTCATCCCTCCTGGAGATACTGAAGATCTTCCAGGGAACTGTTCATATCAACAGTGACATCACAAGACAGTCATGCAAATATTTGCCAGCTCAGAGTGGTCTAGAGAAAACTTCAGGCAATGGGAATGTGACCTCAATCCAATTGAATGTATCCTAAATCTACGCTGTGTAAATATTAGCCTTACCTTGTGGAGGGGGGAGGGGTCAGTACAAAGGAGCCAATTCACCAAGGTAACCCTATCCTAACCAGCACTCTAGAGAAGGGGGTTGGCTAAGACCAACTGGACCAGGCATGGGGTTACGTGTATCAGAGAGCATCTATCTTTCAAATGGCCTCCCTTTCCATAGAGACCTTAAAGGAGACAGGAATCTTCCATATGAACAGGGACATCATGACTGGTGTAATCTTCTGAGGAACAAACCTACTGGGACCACAAGCCCAGAGAAGGCAATTTCATGCCATACTGACAGCCCATTCTGAACCAGTCTGTTTCCCCAGAAGAAGTGAGATCCTTGAGCTCTCAAGGGTTTTGAAAATGTGATTCTCATCCTTGGGACCCTGAGATGAGCCATGACACTTCAAACATCATGGCATTGTTGTCCTGTGGTGAAGGGAAGTGAGGAGACCTGTGTCTAGAGGAGTCAGTGAGCCAGCATTACACAGGCTCAATGTGTCAGTGCAGGGGTCAAGCTTGTTCTGACTTCAGCCATCTGAGTCCAACCATCAAGGTCCACCACAAGAAACCCCAACCTGCTCTCCCTGCATGGACCCCTGCTGTTGCAGTGGACTGTAAGGCTTTGTAAGGGGTCCCAAGTGCTGTCAGTGCAAGAACCAAGCCTGACATCTGTGGTGTTAGCTGAGACTAGAGCAGGCACATTCTGACTGTGATTAATGTCAGCGTTATCCTGATCTCTCATCCTCTACCTGAGCGTATGGCAGCCCACCAGCCTCCCTGCTCAGCCTGATGTTTGCATATAGATTTCTGTCTCAAATAAGGTGTGTGTTATCCTGACCACCTTTGTCTTTGGTCCCATGCCACCTTCTGTTGCAATTGACTGCTTTATATTCTATTTTTCTAGGCCAGTGAGTTAATATTTATTTGATGCAAGTCCATAGAAGACAAGAGGAAAAAAGTCAGTGATCTGAGACACTGTCTTGGCCATCACACGTCCCCATAGTATGAGAAGAACCTGAGGGTCACAGACTAGGTTTCCTGTCACAAACGTGTTGACTCCAAACCACAAGTTACTTGACGTCTTATGTAAATCTACTCTCTATTCCCCAGAACCCACCACCGACAGAGCACAGCACACAGACATTCACTTTGATGTCATTTCTCTCAGGTGACCCTGTCCACTTGGAGGGCTGACTACTTCTCAAGAACTCCATCTTTTCTGCTGTCACCACCACCATCCTCAACATCATCTTCATCCCCATCATCATCACTATCTCTATCCAGAGGTCACTGCCTGGAGGACACAAGGGTGAGTTGGTCCTGCTGATGCTGGGAAGATTAACCTAGAGGTCATAGGGATCCTGCCCTCAGGGAACGGGATGTGGTTTCCTACTTTGGCTTCAGCTCCCACTCTGACTTTCTCCCATTTTTAGTTCTCTAAGTTTCCTAGGTTCTCATTGTTTGTTCCTGTTCTGCTCTCCAATATCAGACCCTCTGTATTGCAGTCCTAGTCCCATTCTCTAGGCCATTCTGGCTCCTTATTTTAGACTTCAGTTTGTAACATGATGGGCCGGCTTGTTGGGGTTTCTGTCCTGCCTGGTACCCCAACAAGCCAGCAAGCCCCAAGGAAATCACACACAGGACTCCATAAGGTTATAAACTGATTGGCCCGTTAGGTCAGGCGTCTTGTTAACTCTTATAACTTATGTTACCCCATTATCCTTATCTACGTTAGCCACATGGGCTCAGTACCTTTCTCAGTGTGACAGCTTACATGTTGCCTCGTCAGTGGTCTGCGCAGGAATGGCGAGGAACTTCCCTGCTTCCCAGAATTCTCCTGTTCTCATTGCATCACCTCTACTTCCTGTCTGGTTTTCCCGCCTATACTACCTGCCTGGCCAATCAGCATTTTATTAAAATATGATCGACAGAATACAGACAATTCTCCCGCATCATCAGTTCCTGCCTTCTTGACCTTGCTCTGCTCAGCCGGAGAAATATAAACCCCTTAACACTCAGTTCTATAGACTTGATCACGTGCTATTTCCCTTGTAACGGTATGCCCCCTTCTCCTGCCCCTGTACATGTCATTTCCCCTGAGCTCTTCACTGCTGGTTTAGGGATCACTAAGGCAGGTCTCACTGCAGAGCCTTGTGGAGCTGCTCAAATTCACGCAACTTCTCTTCTAGATCGTTAGTCAGCTCCTGTGGCTCTTCAGCTGACTCTGTCTTTGCAGTGATTTTGAAGCTTGTAGTTTCTCCTGCTCTGATGGCTTGGATATGTTCCCTGAGGGTTTTCCAGGCACCAAATAATTGCCAACCTGCACTACATAGTTGGAATAAAATCAAAGGCATGATCTTCAAAATTTTGTTCAGTATGTCCATGCTGGCTTTAACCAGGCGCCTGGCTTCTCCTTCATATGCCCTGATGGATTTTTCCACAATGAACGAGGTGGCACCAGTCACAGCTGCTCTTCGACCTGCTGCTGTGATCATCAGAGATAACCCTCCTGTGAAGGGTGCCAGAGCTAATCCAGCGATTGTAGCAGCGGGGTCGGTGGGGCCAGACACCGTATGGGAGGTGGTGCAGCCCCTGTGCTCCTGGTCAAGAGGGACAGCCAGGTATCGGAGCTTCCTGATGTGTTCTTCAAGTTTCCTTTTCAACCCAGGAAATTCTTTCAGAAAATTCTCCTTCTGCTGCCTCTTTTCTGTTTCACCATTTTCATCTGTGGGCTCCTGGGCTAAATGCTTCTTCAGTGCATCACGCAGGGCAGCTTCCTCCTCACTGTGACAGAAGAGATCAAGTTCATGAATAAAAGAGTTAGTTTTGAAAGTGAAAACCTTGTTCAAACCTCACTTTCATACCACAGACCCAGTAGGAGTAACGTAGCAGAGATTTGTAATCTGCCCTTTTCCCTGAGCATCTGGTACTGCATAGACGCCCAGGGCCTTAGTCCACAGGGTCCATGTTCGAAGTCAGGAAACTTAGCAAAATTAGAGGCACTGATAAAATGATTTCACTCAATGTCAAACCAATGTCATCACTATCTGTGGGAGCCCTGTTGATGAGTGCCAGGATGTGGGCTTATAGCAATTACTCTTTCAGTCAGAGAACTGTGTATGTTGTTTGAAATTCCCCTTTCCCAAGAGTCTCATGTCTGTCCTTGGTTGCCCTGAAGTCATCGAAGCCCAGGCAGGGTCCAGCTGATAAAAATATCTGTGCTTGCCTGGGAGGTCTGCAATGGACCATTCATAGAGCAAGCCAAGAGTGGATTCTTCAGCCTTAATGAATTCCAAACCTAATGTCTCAAAACTCCACATCTGTCCTCATGGGACATTACAAGAGACAGCACAATTGATTTAAAAGAATTACATAAAACTCCTTCATCTCCTGTACACAGTGTCAGCATTCAGGTAGATTCAGGTCCATTTTATAGGAAATTTCACTATGTATCTGCAAATGTTTTCTGCAAACTGTGGAAAATGCAGGTTCTGAGATCTATCTGTTCTCAAGAATATCCTATAAAAATGCTCAACCTGAAAGAGGTGAGAACTTTGGTGCCATTTCTGACCTGTAGAGAACTGGAGGAATAAAGCACTGACCTTAGGAAGATTTCCCTGAGGCCTGTGTCACTGGAATTGATCTTTTGTTGATGTCCTTATAAGGTATCTGCCATCTTGCCCTCCTGACAGGTATCTGTTAAGTCCCCAGCTCTCTGTGTATACAATATGGCTCCATCTGTGTTTCCCTAGGTCAACAGTCCTGATCAGTGTTCTCCTGGCTTCTTGGACCTGCTTCACGATGAAGATTCTTTCCTAGGGTGGGCTTCCTGGTATGCAGTGGTCATGTGATTTGGTAGTGTGCAGTAGTCATGTGATTTCCTGGTATGCAGAAGTCATGTGATTTGTCACACAGTCAATGCAGGACAGCACTCCACACTGAGGATAAGAAATTTCAAGCTTGAATCTCTCTTTTTTCTATCTGGTGGATGTTTCCATTTGCTCATTTTAACCCTCTGTGCTACATGGTTGACTGTTACTATGTGGCAACTGTCTTATATGTGCCTTCTTTGTGTGGTTTTTGCAAATTCTCAATCCTGTTTGGATCAGAGTAGTCCTTCACTAAGGGCTGGTGTCAAATATAAAAAGAAGGGTCACTGGGACTCTTTCCTCAGACTTTGTCATTTAGCTATTTCTTTTTTTTAAATCTCTTTAAACTTTTACCTAGGGTTTATATGAATTGAATGCCATCTTAAATTGCTGAAAGTAACTGAGACAGAAGTTTGCTTTAAAAATATAAAAGAGTTAGTTCCAGGACAGGCTCCAAAGCTACAGAGAAACCCTCTCTTGAAAAAACAAAAATAATAAACAAATAAAGCAATTGCCCTCCATTCCTAGTAATAAGTATTAGCAAAAGTCATTGTTTCCTTGATTAATAGTAAGTGACGACTTAGCCTTAAAATGCAAATTGGAAACACAGTGGAAAGTGGTAACTGGGCTTCATGTGTCCAATTTTAGTACAGTGAAGAGATTTTCATTTTTTTCATTTAGCTATTTCTGAGAATTTAAAATTAAACCCAAAACAAACCTTCAGAGCCACAAGTGACCTTCCAGATCCCATTGCCTGCTGTCTGCTCTCTGCAGATTGCCAAAATCCTTTCTCTCCAAGGCTGAATCTCACAAGATCAGTGCCTGCCTGAGGTGGCTGAGCCAGGACAGCTGCCATTAACCCTGGCTCCACACTGACTCCCACCCCTCACTCACTCTGGACCAGGTCTGGTCAAAGCCCTGCAAACAGAGGTCACCATGCTAACAGACACCACAGCTAGTGACAGGGTCACATTTGAACACAGCAAGGCCATGTGCAAAGATGCAAGGGGCCTGGAGACCACTAATAGTGACAAGGAGGCTGGACATCGCCTGAAGTTGGACAGGGCAATAAGGGAAATATTTTCCTCTGAGATGGTGACATGCGATCCCCTGAGACTCTCAGGTTCTGCAAACTGTTCTCCAACCACATTGACTGTGGACTCTTGTCTCTAGCCACACATCCTTTCTGATATTCAGGAAGCACTGTGTAGAACAGAGTAGAGTCTGGGATACAACCTGAGAACTTCTGAGCACACACAGCACGTGGAGGGTGTGCCCAAACACATCACAGCACACTCTATAAAGCATGAGGTCAGGGCCAAGGAGGAAAACACTCTTTCATCTTGCATGTCCTCTGCTAGGTCTCTTCTCTGTGCCTCCAATTCCTCCATCCTTCCAGCCCTGCTGTCCTTGCCTTCTACCACACTTCTGTTCTAGGGTCACTCTCAGTGTTTCCTGAACCCTGGCTGAGATCCTGGTCCTGGTCTTTCTGGGCTGTGGAAAGGGAGCTGGCACTTGGTTTTCCATCCCTGACCTGCTGCTCATCCCAGGCTGTCACTACGTCCTATCAATCTAAACTCCCATCCTACTGAACAGATCTCAGTAGTGACAGTCAGGGCCAACCCAGCTCTGTGCAGCTGCACTGTGAGCTCTCGGCCTCCTCAGCCCACAGAAGATCCTGCTGTTGTTACAACTCCTCAGGTGGAAGGGGAGTGACCGAGACAGAATCTGGAGACATGGCTGATCATGTCTAGACTTTTCTCACTTGTCTTGTAATAAGTTCTTGATTCCTCAGTCCTGGCCCTGGTCTCTTTCCATTTCTTATGTCGCCCTCAGTGAGAAGTTTCAAGGGCACCCACTGTGCACGGGTCACATGCTGAGAGCTGCACACACATGATCTTATTTTCTCACACTGCAGTCTCATGGTGGTGAAACTCAGGACGTGCTAACTAACTTGCCAAGGTCACAAAACTAGTAGATGACAGAAACGGTCCCAGCATCTTGAGCAACATCTTCAGTCAACCTGAGGTGATGTCCACCGGGAATAAAATAGTGGAAACATTCCTCCTGGATTGTTGAGAAGGAATGTCCGCAACCCCACCCCAGGGTATGCCTGTAGGAAGCCCTCATGCTCATGGTCTGGTGGGAAGTGCTGTGTGCAGAAAGCAGGTAACCTTGACAATGCTGCTCGCACCACAAACGTCTTCCAGGCTCCATCTTCAGTTATCAAGAGCTTCAGATCGTCTCTGCACAGTTTGTTCGTGATGGTGGCAGCTATTTTGTCCACGATGCTTTTAAGCTCTATATACCAAGAAAAGAGTGAGGTTAGAAGACAGCATGGAAGAGGTTAAATAGCAAGTAGCAGTAGGCGGTGAGATGCCATGTTCCTGAGCATTTGTCTTCGGTCCTAATGGGGTCTCCAGGATTGTAGGTTCAATTATGCCCCCTAAATTCATATGTAAAATCTCTTAGGCTCAGCAATTGTGCTTGGAAAGAGAACCTTTAAGGAAGTAATGTAATGAAGATCAAATGGTGCTCTAAATATAGAGTGCATTCAGTGGCACTGGTGTCCTCATGACAGTGAGATACCAGAGGTCTATTCTCTGTCATCTATGTGTCATTTTATTATCTCATATGTACACACGGTTGTCTCTGTGACCACCTACCTCTCAGTCCATGTCTATGCATAAAACGAAGGCACCATGTGCAGGTGTAGTAACCCTTCTCCCTCTGCATACCAAGAAGAGGATTATTATGGGACCAAATTGCATATGTTCTTTATAGAATATGGGTTTCCATTCCTGATGGAATTGACAGATCTTTTGTTGAAGTCCCTTATTGCACCCACCACCCACTTCTAACATGTCAAACACTGTGGCACCAGTGCCTTCAGATGTGACTTTCAAGTCACTGGTGAGCTCTCTCTCCACTAGCTCATGTGTCAGTAGTCGAATTTTAAACAATGTGGAATCAACATCAGTGTCTTTTGGCCATGGGAGGGGCTCAGGTTCTTTCCTGGCTTAGGGCGCTCTGACACCATGGAGAAATCATCCAGGACCACTCGACTCTTGCATCTTTCATGACTCCACAGCCAGTACCCACAAACAGCACTGCCAGGTATGGCTGCCAGCATGGGATGGAGCGTTGTCCCATCAACCACACCAGCAGCAGCTTTGTACAGTGAAGCAGTGTCTTTCCTGGAGCAAGCAAATGTTGGGCTTTTTCTTTTCTGGGCCCTAGCTGAAACTCCAAACTGGAACTTAGTTGCCCGGCACCTGGCCTGGAACGACGCACCCTCCCATACTTCCACCGCAGAGCAGTAGCCTTCCCTCAGTGTCCCTCAGTGTCCCTCAGTGTCCCTCAGTGTCCCTCAGTGTCCCTCAGTGTCCCTGTGCCGTGGACAGTCACAGCAATCCCCCAAAATGGAGCTTCCTTGTGTCCTTTTCTCTCCAAACACAAAATGTCAAACACTCGTCATTTATTATAGCCCCACCTGCTCTTTCATTGTAGACCTCCATACAGAGTCAGCATTAATAACCATTCTATAGACTCAATATTATAGCATATTGACCTTACCCCACAAAAAATTAATCCATTGTTCTTTAATTTATCCATTTGTAAGTTCTCAGAATCAGGAAAGATGACACCTAGGCTCTTTCCAAGATATCACAGAAATGACCTCTATCCCAATTGTCAATAAAGTCCTTGCATCCCTCTGAAACCAAATGAGCCAGAATCCCCACATCTGTGTTGCTTTCAGCAGGACTGCCTTCCTGGATCCTGCCCCACTGACCCCTGGGGCTCTGCCTCCCACATTCCTTGAATATATGTCTATTCCTCTCTCTTCACTCCATTTCTATACTTACGCAGCAAATATTTGCTCTATATACTTCACACACACACACCCACACACACAAACAAACACGCACACCTGCACGCACATGCACACACACGCGCACATGTACACACATACGCACACACGAACCACATGAATATATGCTTGTAACCAGGTTCTTCACATAACGAACCCACTCTCTGGTGAGAATTTCTGGATCATTACTTTTCTGTTGTCATAAACACTATGAGTACTTTAATGAAACTCATTTGGCTTCCAGCTTCTCAGTGTTAGATGTCCATAGTGTCAGTGAAGGGACAGAAAGAGGTGTTGGAAACTAAGATCACATCTCTACTGGACTTTAGGAGTGCAGAATATACTGGAAGGGTCAAGGATATAGATTCTATTTTATATTTTTAGCTAAATTTTTTTTTATTGTTGAGATAAATTCTCACAATGCCACTCTGGCTGACATGGAACTCAATGTGTAGATCAGGCTGGAAACAAATTCACAGAGATTCCCTACCTCAGCTTCCCCTTTTATGGGATTAAAGCACGCACACTGCAGTAAATTGGCTTATAAACTCCAGAGGCCCACACTCAGGAATGGACTTCCTTCAGTAAGGCTGTGCATTCCATAACTTCCCAAATGGCAACACTAACTGATTACCAAGTATTCAAATGCTTGAACCTCTGGGGTATCTTTTAGTAAAGACAGCCAGCACACTTCTACACACAAGCACCACACACAGGCGAACCACAAAGACAAAAAGAACCTGGTTTGGACAAGTAAAAGGTGCAGCATTTCCTCCCCCCATTGTAATTTTGTGAGATTGAAGAAGGAAGGAATAAAGGTAGTTGCCTACCGGATGCCATGACTGCGTCCCTTCCTCAGGACCGGCTATGGGACTTCAGATAGGTTTTCCTCACAGCTCTTTACGTGTCCAGGCTGGAGAGAGAAGAAAAGCAACTGTAAGGTGCAATAGGGACAGCTGAGGGAAGACAGGTGGGAGGGGACAGGGGCCCAGTGGTTCCACCAGAGTGGGGGTAAAGGACCAACAACAGTCAGCCAGAGTTTTTCCTCCAGTGGGCCCTGCATTGCTTCTTACAGATGTCACTCATCTTGTTCACCCTCTCCCCTCTCCCTCGCCATGTCAGGGTCCTCATGCCCTTTATTGTCCATGGAGAATGTCGCCAACTTGGGACATAGACATGAAAGAAAACAATATATGATCCAAACACAGGAGAATTGTTAAGGGATGCTCTGTCAAGTCCTAGGTGGGCACATATGGGAACTGAAGGTAATAGCAGATGTTTTCTGTATGTCTGTGATACTCAGACCTCCTAATACACACCTCATTAGGTGACCAACATCCTCTATGAGATGAGGACCCACATGAGCCCCATGTAAAGCTAACTGAAGATCCTTAAGGTTTGCTGACAACAGTCCCCCAAATTTCCCAGTAATGCTATACCACAGATCTACCTGCTTGGCACCTTACCTTTTAGGTCTGACTCCCCACACCCTTCAACACACAGCAGGCTTCCTCCCTGCCCCATGTGACTGTGAGTGTCTTCTCACTCAAACCAGGGCAGGTTCCCAGTGACAGCTGAAATTCTTGAACGCTACACTGAGCTCCTAGGGTCCATCCCCTCTTTATGTCTGCAGGATCCTGCATCCCACCAGCGCTGGAGTCCTGTCAGTCCCTGCCCTGGCCCATCTATTCCTCTGCCCTCTTCCTCAGTGTTCAACCTCAGGCCGTTTCTAATCATCATGTGAACAGCAGTGGAGGGATATTCTCTTGTAAGAAACGTCTGCACCGGGATTATTTTCTGTCAGATATTTCTAAAGGCAAAATGCCTGGATCATGTAGTATCTATCTTTAATTTTTTCATAACCTGAGGCTCATCGTTGTAGAAGTAATGTGTGAGAACCCACACTCCCATAGGCAGTGCACGAGGGCGGATATTCCCCTGGACTTCCTAGTGCACAGTAGCCCGAAACAGCAAATCTGACTGCACACGGAGAGGCTGAGGGAGGGTGGGGGCTGACAGTTTGGGGCCAGATGAGGTTTCTCATGCAGACACTAGATCTAACTTAGGACCATCACCACTGAGGTTCGGGGTAAGGTTGCATTTCTATATATGTCACGTAGACAGACGGGCATCCATCAACTCCGGGGCAACTATAGTGAGGGCACATGCAGTGAGACCTGGAGGTGGCAGTGACCTGAACACTCAGAACCCCAGATTCTCTGAGGCTTCGTGAAGAATATCACACTCTGTCACCCCAATGACCTCTAACGTATGTGCTATCTGTGCCCCTGTTCACCTCTCTCTGGAGCCCCTCCCTGCCTTCCAACCAGTGACATGTCCACCCCAATCGTCCTCCTTCCCTTCTTACTTTTGACAACTTAGGGACCAGTGTCTCTCGTGCCCTCTCTCCCAGTGCTCAGCCTCGCAGCAACCATAGGTGGGGAGCAGCCTGCGGGACTCAGAGGGGCAGGCAATCCAGCTCCCTCTATCAGAGGATTAACACAGGGACATGGAGAAGTGTGACACACCCCACGTCACATAGCACTCAGAGCAGAGAGGTGAGGGAAACAACAGCTCTGACTCTGAACCAAAGTAAATCCTGTGGATTTAACACTCTGCGTCCCTCCCAGACTAGGCAGAGGGCAGCTAACAAGGAGTGCAGTCTCTCAGCCACCTGTTCAGCCTCCATCCAGGTACCCTAGACAGGTCACTCACTCTCTGCTATGCCTCAGTTTCTCTTCAGTACTTGACATAGCCTAATCACAAAGGCCAAATGAGCTAGCACCCCTTAGTCATTCTGTGTATCTTACTCAAGATATCATTCTCATTGGTCCAAGAACAGCACCCGGAGACAAGTGTTGGGTGTCCATGCAGCACAGGTTGATGCCCCTGTGTCCCCAAACTCTTCCAATTCCTTCTTCTGTTCTGTATTTATATAAAACGACAGACCACAGAAAAGGGCTACCTTCCCTCTAGGATCCCTGATCATGTCTCAAATTGACCTGCAAGGAGGGTCAGGGCCCAGGCAGTGTGGCGATCCCATCTGAGGGATCCCACACCTTCTCCTGGGCTGAGGACAGAGGAATAGAGAGAAACAGACTCCGTTCTGACTGCAGGTCCAGCCATACTGCTGCTGAGTCTGCGACCTACTCTATTTTCCAACTTTGTTGAGTTCATCCATAAAATGGGGCCATAACCCTCCTCCTCCAGAGCACTTGAAAGGATAAATATGTGGGGACAAGGATCCTCAAACTCACCTTGGAATCTTTCCATAAGCAATGGTTGATTAGCCCAGCTGTCCTTAGCTATTTGGAACCAGTGACCAGCTTCATGTGTGAGACACAAACAAACTACATCTAGGCTCTATATACCCAGTGCCTGAAAGTGAAAGAAAGATTTCTGGTTGTGGTCCCTCATGATAAAACAACCCAGCAGGCATGATGCCTGCCAGGCACCACCCTGTTGATGCCCTATGGCCAGGAGCTGTTTTGACAAGTAACGACTCTGGCCTGGGTGAGATAAAAGTAGAGCCAAGAATTAAGGTCGCCGATGTGGCTTCAGCTGGGTATCTTTTCCAAAAAAAAAAAAAAAAAAAAAAAAAAAAGAACACATTCATGACTGCAATGATGAGAGAATACTTGGTCTCACAGCAGGGACAAACCTTGTTTTCCATTGATTTGGCGAGAGAGAATAAATTGGGACTCGCCACAGTCATAGGTACATTTCTCATGTATCTCTCAGAACTTTCGGATGAGGGGGAGGTTCAGAGTGATAGAAGGTTACTATAGCAGGGCTGGGAGGAGAGGGTGATCAGGGAGGAAGGCACCAAGAGGAATACAGTCAAGGGCCTAACAGAGGACACTTGAGAGGGACAAGGGACATTGCTTCCCTCCTTGCTCTGACCTCAGGCTTCATGAGTTGTGCCTTGGTGTCCTCCACACACTGTCTGCTCTGAGGAGTCCATGGTGATATCAATGACTCTCTTCTGATTTAAACCGAGCTCCCTCAACATAACCAAGATTGTGTGGCTGCAGACAACTCCCAAACTCAGTGTGACCGAAGGAAGATTTTTATAATTCTCGCAGCCAAGTGGGTCCCATGCACCCATCCCATTTGAAAACACTTCCCTTATTGCTTCTAGCTATTTGAGCAGATTTCCTAGCTACACTTTATGATTGGTTGTCTACAGGCCACTTTTATCTTTGTAGGCAGCCCTGCTATATTCCAGTGCGACAGTGACACCTAGTGTGGTGTCCGTTGCCTGGTGACATCTGTCTTCAGGATCTTGATGTAGACCTGCCATGGGGGTTTAGACCAGTGAGGGACGAGAGTCAGCGTGGAGCCAGGGTTAGTGTAGCTCTTCTGCTCTCAGCAGCTGACCCTGGGAGCTCTACAGATGTGGGGAGTGGGTTGGGGGCATATGTAGGGCACAGGCTGCAGGCAATAGATGTGGGGCCTCATTGATGGCTCTGAGGGGTTTTGGTTTCCAACTGCATTGTAAGTGACCAGGAGTAGTTAAGTTGGCCAAGCCTAAGACAACAGTCTTTATTAGCTGCTTGTGTCTTTCTGATACTGTCTTAGGCAGGGTTTCTGTTGCTGTGATGAACACCATGACCTAAAGCAACTTGTGGAGAAAAGGGTTTGTTCAGTTTACACGTCCCTGTCATGGCCCATGATGGGAAGAAGTCAGGACAGGAACTCAAACTGGGCGGTAGCCTGGTGGCAGGAGCTGACTCAGCAGTAATGGGTACTGATGCTTTCTGACTTGTCCCCAGTGCCTCTCTCTGCTTGAATTCTTAGGGCAGCCCATGGGTATTACCACCCACAATGCGTTTGGCCCTCCAACATCCATCACCAATTAAAGAAAGATGCTACTGACTTGCCTACATGTCAAAGCAACGCTGAGACAGCTTCATATTGGAGGGTGGTTCTTATTTAGGTTTTTATCATCTTTCTATGCTCAACTAGTTTGATTCCATTGCCGAGCTCTTCAGGCAAGCACAGACATTCCTGCAGGATGGAAGCCTTGGGGCAGCAGATGACTTCCCAGCAGCCAAGAGAGATAAGACTCTCTGGAAAGGGGAAACCCTCATGACTCTTTAACCCTCTCTGAGGTTGGAGTTTTGCTCTGATACCACATCCCTCTGCTCATCCTCAGAGTCACCAGTGGACAAATATTTTGGTAGTGATGTCACGGAGTGAAGGCATTATATCAAGCGCCTGACACCAAGGTGTTTGACACTAATTTACACACTTTTTCTGTGTACTAAGGTTCAAAGGCATCTCTGTTGTACCAAAGTTTCGTGGCAAAATCATGGATCTAGGTTAATTTATTTTTGACAATATTTCGTTTGATTTAAATTAGACAGTTACTAAGGGCTCATGTTAGTGCTAAGCAAACTCTTTCTCATGCACTGGACCTCTGCTGTCATGGGGACGTGGAGGCAGCTGTGTCTGATGCTCCGAAGATGCACACAGCACATATGGAATTGGATGACGACAGAAATCTTCACTAGAACGGCATGACAGGAAGAGGGCTTGGGAAGTTTTTCTTGGTCGAAAGTGAAACTTGAGGAACCCCTCTGGAAAGTCCCAGCCCAGTGACCATCTTGAACAGGTTCCCAGGGGCGGTGCTCTCTCCAATGTTGTGCCCAACTCCTCCAGCACGGCCTCAGGAGTCCTGGCATCCTGGGTCCAGCTCTGACACAGCAGGGGCAGTCTGCTGCTCTCAGCAGCTAGGTTGTGGCTGCAAGCCGCAGCTGCTGCACGGAGGTTGTGGAAGAATCATGCCGACAGGCATAAGGAAGGAATTCAGCAGAATTGATATGACCAACTGGCTCAAGCTACAGCCTCAAGCTGTGTGGCAGACAAACTCCTCTCTCTTTCTTTAGCTTTTCTATGTCAGGTGTTTTGTCACCATAACTAGCAGGGAGGGGAGTTACCGTGGAGTAGAACAGGTGAATCTTATTGAGGTTGAGGCCAGCCTGATCTGCAATGCCAGTTCTAGGGCAGCCAGGACTGTTACACAGAGAACCCTGTCTCAAAATCAATGCAGGAAAGTTGAAGCGTGGTTAGTTAGGGGTCAGTGGGTGTAAGAGGGACCTAAGTGGGTAATTGTGTTCAATATGATCAAAATGTATAAAATACATGGATAAAACTGTAATAATAAAGTCCACTATTATATGTAACTTATATATGTTAATAAAACGCTTAAAGAATAACACAAAGAATGAAGAAAAGGACGGGAGCCCTGAGCCTTCATGCTTGCTCTAGCCTACGTGTGATGAAGAATCCCAGGTGGAGCTGGTGCCATGTTCCCAGACTCCAGCCTCTGGTCCATGAGCTACACAGAACTTTATTCTTCCTAATTACCTAGTCACAGGATTCATCCTGTCGTTGTCTCAGAACAGATGAAGAGATTTGTTTTTGGCTTCCAAGACAGTGTGACATTTTCAAGATGTCCCGTCTCTGCTGTCTCTCTGTAGAGATAGGATTTATGGAGACACGTGTATGTGACTCCATCTCTCACACCCTGCAACAGACAGTGTAGACAAGACATTCGGCAGTTAAACAACCCTTTTATAGGGGTTTCTTGAGACCACTGGATGTATCAGATATTTACAGTAAGATTCATAATTGCCCAGGCGGTGGTGGTACATGCTTTAATCGTAGCACTCGGGAGGAGAGGCCGGAAGATCTCTGTGATTTTGAGGCCAGCTTGGTCTACAGAGCGAGTTCCAGGACAGGCTCCAAAGCTACACAGAGAAGTCCTGTCTCAAAAAACTAAAACAAGCAAAAGACTCATAACAGCCACAAAATGAGAGTTCTGAAGTGGCAAGGAATAATTTTATGGCTGGGGTCACCATGACATGAGGAAATGTATTATAGGGTTGTGTGGACACCGCCAACCAAGCTCACCAAAGCCCAGCTCCTACAGTGTCTTCTCCCATCACCTTCAGTAATATCATGATGCCAGCGTGATCCTTCTCCCTCACTGAGAACACATGACTGACTCACCCGACTCTGGCAGGAATGTCCTTGGGACCTTTGGCTGATGGACATGGCCTGTACTGGCATATGCTGCCAGTGTCTTGTAGGAGGAATAAATGAACCAAGGCCTCTGTGAGGTGTCCCTGTGAAGCCTGTCTAAGGGAACCATGGCTTCCAAATGTTCCTTTCCTCACTGGCTACTCACTGACCTCATCGCAGCAGCCCAGTGGCTCCCGAGGACCCTGATGCGCATCCACCTGTCCAGAAGCCACTCCTCTGCTCTCCTCCCCATGCCTGCCTCTCCTGTTGGACACTGGGCATCCATAGCTCTTGTTGTGGGATGTGTTAGAACTTACAGTGACTGTGTGATATGGGCAGAAATGAAGGAAAGCCTTCTAAAAGAGTTCTGAGGGCTCTTGTTAAAGACATAGGTGAGTTATGCTGGCTGGTTGTCCCTTTCTCTTTCTTCCTGCCTCACAGGCTGTAGGACCCCTATTGCTACCTGGGGGAGCCGGCCTCCAGTCAGAACCAGGGTGTGCAGAAACAGACATGAATTCAGTGATGTCTTAGGAAAAATCCTTATCTATCTGAGGGGGGAATATAAGGAAAAACTTGCTTTCTGGTGGTATCTTTCTCTTCTTCTTCTCTTGAAAAAAATCTTCTATGAAAATCTCTCCTGCTCTTCTAAGTAGTTTTCCACAGCTCTCTGTGTAGCTCCACACAGCCTCTCCTCAATCCAAACTCTGGAAAGTTGTATGTTACCTTTCCTGGGCCTGACTCATTCTCATAACACAAGGTAAGTCACAGAGTTTCTCTTAGGCTAGGGATAGCACAGTTACTGTCCAGTGTGGAACACATGGCTATGTCCATGGCTCTACGTTGGTGAGGGGTCCCAGACAGAATATGTCATTGAAAGTCAGGACTTAAACAATAGCCAGTTATCTGAACCTTGAGAGGTAGGGAGTATGTCCATAAGGTCCATTACTATTGTCTACCAAAGTTGCTTCAGGTCTGAGCTTGAATCAGTAATAAACACTGGGAATTCCTCCTTGTGTATTCATCGCCAGGGGCAACCAGTTGCTTTGAATTTGTTCTGAAGTCTATAATTAGCTGTTCTTGTGATTGAAAATACAGTTACTTTCCTATATCAGTCTGAGCAATGTAAAATATCTTCGCATTATTTCTATTTATCAAAATCATCTCAGGTTAAGCAGAAATCATCATCCTGACCATCCACAGGTGCACGTGTGCCCAATATATGGAATATATACATGAGAGGAACACACAGGCAGTGGGAAGACACCCTTCCTGTTCTCAGGGAAGGAATGCAGTTCTTAGGGAAGAAACGAAGTGACACAAGAGAGAAATTACAGGCAGAAGCAACTGGTCTCTTACATTCAGTGACTCCGTGGCCTTCCCAGGTGGGACTCCCCATAAGAGTCATTCATCTGGTGGGTTGATCTCCTCAACAATAATTATCACCTGCTGTATGCTTCCATGGCCCCCTTCAGACCCTTAGACATGAGTACCATGTGTCAAACAGAGATGGGAGAATGAGCAGATGGGATAATGGGATGGAGTCTTGGGTGACTCCACACATGCCTAACAGCATCTGCACTGTGGGTCTCAGTCTTCCAAGATCCTATAGGGCTGTGGATGTGCCCCAGTGCTACAGTACTTTCCAAGCATGGAGCAGTGTGTATCTTCAGTGTTGAGATGGAGGAAAGCTCTCTTGGTCAGTTCTGAACCTGCCTTGGACCTAGCTCTTCTTGCCTTTTTGCGTGACTGTCTCCTGGTTAGATGCTTTCAGGCATCTCTGATGGTGTCTGACCTGTCCTGCTCCTGGAAGTTGAGGCAGGGAACCTCTTTCCCCAGCTGTGCTGACCTCTCCAGATAAGGCTCTTCTTATTCTTGATTCTTCAGTTTTCATCAACATGACTTTAGCTCAGCACAGGAAACCACAGTGAGAGTTAGGACCATGTAAATGTCCCCTGAGGCACAGGCCAAACATGGTGGAGAATGAGTTGGAACATTCATAAACTTTTAACAGTCAGGATGGAGCTATTGACTCTTAAGTCATGGGTCCAGACAACCCCGTCCTGCCACCTCTTTCTCCAACATCATAAGCATATCTCATCCCTCCTGGAGATCCTGAAGACCTTCCAGGGAACTGTTCACATCAACAGTGACATCACAAGACAGTCTTGCCAACTCTGAGTTGTCTAGAGGAAACTTCAGTCAATGGAAATGTGATCTGAATCTGATTGAAGGCATTCTGTTTCTATGCTGTATAAATATTAACCTTCCCATGTGCAGGGGGGTCAGCACACAGGAGCCAGGCCACCAAGGTTACCCTACCCTATCCAGCACTCTAGAGAAGGGGGTTGGCTCAGATCAATAGTACCAGGCATGTGATTACTTGTATCAGAGAGCGTCTACCTTTCAAATGGCCTCCCTTTCTGTAGAGACCTTAAAGGAGACAGGCGTCTTCCATATGAACAGTGACATCATGACTGGTGTAATCATCTGAGGAACTAAAACAGACAAACCTTCCAGGACCACAAGCACAGAGAAGCCAATTTCATGCCATACCGACAGCCCAATCTGAATCAGTCTGTTTCCCCAGAAGAAGTGAGATACTTGAGCTCTCCAGGATTTTGCAAATGTGGTTCTTATCCTTGAGACCCTGAGAGGAGTCATGACATTTCAAACACCATGACATTGTTGTCCTGTGGTGAAGGGTAGTGAGGAGACCTGTGTCTAGCATTAATCAGGCTCAATGTGTCAATGCAGGGGTCCAGCTTGCCCGGACTTCAGTTGTTTTGAGTTCAACCATCAAGATTCACCACAAGAAACCCGAGCCTGCTCTCCCTGCATGGGCCCCTGTCTTTGCAGTGGACTGTAGGTCTTTGTAAGGGGTCCCAAGTGCTACCAGTGCTAGAACCAAGCCCGATATTGGTGGCATTAGCTGATTCTAGAACACTTTCATATTCTGGTTAATGCAAGATAATCCTGCTCACCAGTCCCTTTGAGAGCTGCGGCAGCCCACCGGCCTTCCCACCTTCCTCAGCCTGATGTTTGCCCATTTCTTTCTACCTCACATCAGTCTGATTTATCCTGACCACCTTGTATTTGGTCCCATGCCACCTTTTTCTGTTCTAATGGACTGTTATATACTCCACTTTTCTAGAACAGTTAGTTAATATTTATTAAACACAAATCGATAGAAGACAAGAGGACAAACCCCAGATTTTCTAGACACTATCTTGGCCATCACACCTCACTATGCAGAGGTCACTGCCTGAAGGACACAAGGGTGAGTTGATCCTACTGATGCTGGGACGAATAACCTAGAGGTCATAGGGACCTTGCCCTCAGGGAATGGGATGTAGTTCCTTGCTATGACTTCAACTCCCACTCTGGCTTTCTCCCATTCTTAGTTCTCCAGGTTTCCTAGGTTCTCATTGCTTGTTCCTGTTCTTCTCTCCATATCAGACCCTCTATATTGCTGTCCTAGTCCCATTCTCTAGGCCATTCTGGCCCCCTTATTTTAGACTTCAGTTCCTGTCTTCTTAAAGCACTGGCTATCTACGTTGACCTTGCCCTGCTCAGCCGGAGAAATATAAACCCCTTAACACTCAGTTCCTTAGACTTGATCACGTGCTATTTCCCTTGTAACAGTATGCCCCTCCCCATGTCCCCACCCCTGTACATGTCATTTTCCCTGAGCTCTTAACTGCTTGCTGGAGGGATCACTGAGGCAGGTCTAACTGCAGAGCCTTGTGGAGCTGCTCAAATTCATGCAACTTCTCTTCTAGATTTTTAGCCAGCTCCCGTAGCTCTTCAGCTGACTCTGTCTTTGCTCCACTGTGCAAATCCATGGAGTCAGTCACAAGGTTAAACACATCTAATAAAAACATTAAACCAGTACCGACTCCTTTTGCAATCCTGGCTCCTCTGGTTGTTGGGGGAATATTGCGTGGTTTGGCATTCCTTGAGGCCCAACTAGTTCTGGGTCTGTTGGCTTGCATATGTTCCCAGAGGGTTTTCCAGGCACCAGATAATTGCCAACCTGCACTACATAGTTGGAATTCGATCAAAGGCATGATTTCCAAAATTCTGTCCAGTATGTCCATGCTGGCTCCAACCAGGCGTCTGGCTTCACTTTCATCTGCTGCACTCATTGATTCTTCCACAATGGAAGTGGTGACACCAGTTGCAACTGCTGCTGCTCCTAGACCCAACGAAGCTGCTGAGATAATCAGAGAGGCCCCTCCTGTGAAGGGTGCTGCAGCTAATCCAGCGATTGTAGCGGCGAGGCCGGTGGAGCCGGACACCACATTGGAGATGGTGCAGTCCCTGTGCACCTGGTCAAGATGGTCAGCCAGAGCTCGGATCTTCCTGTTGTTTTCTTCAAGTTTCCTTTTCAACTCAGGAAATTCTTTCAGAAAATTCTCCTTCTGCTGCCTCTTTTCTGTTTCATCATTTTCATCTGTGGGCTCCTGGGCTAAATGCTCCTTCAGTGCTTCACGCAGGGCAGCTTCCTCCTCACTGTGACAGAAGAGATCAAGTTCATGAATAATACAGTTACTTTTTGAATGTTAAAACTTTGTTCAAACCTCACTTTCATCCTACAAACTCAGCAGGAGTAACGTAGCAGAGATCTGTAATCTGCACTCTACCCTGACCATCTGGTACTGCAGAGATACCCAGGGCCTTAGTCCATAAGGGTCTGTGTGTGAAGTCAGGACACTTGACAAAATTAGAGGCACTGATAAAATGATTTCACTCAAGGTCAAGCCAATGTCTTCACTATCTTGGGAGCCCTGTTGATGAGCACAGTAACGTAGACTTAGAGCAATTCCTCTTTAACTAAGAGAACTACACATGTTGTATGGAATTCCCCCTTCCCAGGAGTCTCCTCGCTATCCCTAATTACCCTGAAGTCATCTGCAGCCCATGCAGTGTCCATCTGACAGGAAAGCCTGTTTGAATGGGGAGGTCTGCAGTGGACCATTCACAGGGCAAGCAAAATTGGATTCCTCAATCTGAATAAATTCCCCAAACCTCAAGTCTCAAAACTCCACATCTTTCCTCATGGGACATTACACAGAGACAGCACAATTGCTTTAGAAGATTTGCATAAAACTTTTCCATCTCCTGTACACAGTGTCAGTATTGAAATATTGTCACTCACTCTTGACCTGGTCTAGTCAGAGTCCTGGAAACAGAGGTCACCATGCTAACAGACACCACAGCTAGTGACAGGGTCACATTTGAACACAGCAAGGCCGTGTGCAAAGATGCAAGGGGCCTAAAGATCACTAATAGTGACAGGCAGGCTGGACATCGTCTGAAGTTGGACAAGGCAAAAAGGGAAATATTTTCCTCTGAGATGGTGACATGCAATCCCCTAAGACTCTCAGCTTCTGCATACTGTTCTCCAATCACATTGACCGTGGACACTTGTCTCTAGCCACACATCCTTTCTGATATTCAGGGAGCGCTGTGTAGAACAGAATAGAATCTGCAATACCACCTGAGAACCTCTGGGCACACACATCACGTGGAGGGTGTGCCCAAACACAATGCTGCACACCCATAAAGCATGAGGTCAGGGCCAAGGAGAAAAACACTCTTCTCCATCTTGCATGTCCTCTGCTAGGCCTCTTCTCTGTGCCTCCAATTCCTCCATCCTTCCAGTCCTGCTGTACTCGTCTTCTACCTACACCTGCATTCTAGGGTCACTCTCAGTCTTACCTGAACCATGGCTGAGTCCCTGGTCCTGGTCTCTGTGGGCTTTGGGAAGGGAGCTGGCACTTGGTTTTCCATCCCTGATCTGCTGCTCATCCCAGGCTGTCACCACGTCCTATCAGCCTGCCCTTTTATTCCTACTGAACACAGCTGGGGCGCCAGATCTCAGTAGGGACAGTCAGGGTCAACCCAGCTCTGTGCAGCTGCACTGCGGACTCTCGGTCTCCTCAGTCCATAGAGGATCCTGCTGCTGTTACAGCTTCTCAGGTGGGAGGAAAGTGACCGGGACAGAACCTGAGGACGTGGCTAACCATGTCTACATTTTTCTAACTTGTCTCATAATAAGTTCATGATTCCTCAGTCCTATTGGAGACTCCTAGCCCTGATCTTTTCCCATTTCTGAAGTATGTCTCAGTGAGAACTTTCAGGGGCACCCACTGTGTACTGGTCACATGCTGACAGCTGCACACACATGATCTTATTTTCTCACACTGCAGTCTCATGGTGGTGAAACTCAGGAAGTGCTAACTAGCTTGCCAAGGTCACAGAACTGGTAGATGACAGAATCGGTCCTGGCACCTTGAGCAAGATCTTCAGTCAACCTGAGGTGATGTCCACCAGAGATAAAATAGTGGAAACGTTCCTCCTGGATTGTTGAGAAGGAATGTCCACAACCCCACCCCTGGGACTGCCTAGAGTGTGTGTGCCTGCCCAGGAAAATCCTCATCCTCATGGTCTGGTGGGAAGTGCTGGGTGCAGAATGCAGGTAACCTTGACAAATCAGCTTCTTCCACAAATGCATTCCAGGCTCCATCTTCAGTTATCAAGAGCTTCAGATCAGTTCTGGACATTTTTTTCATCATGAAGGGAGCGAATTCGAACCTGAAGCTTGTAAACTCTATATACCAAGAAAAGAATGAGGTTAGAAGTCGGCATGGAAGAGGTTAAATAGCAAGTAGCAGTAGGCAGTGAGATGCCATGTTCCTGAGCATTTGTCTTCGGTCCTAATGGGGTCTCCAGCATTGTAGGTTCAATTATGCCCCCTAAATTCCTACGTAAAATCTCTTAGGCTCAGCAACTGTGCTTGGAAACAGATCCTTAAAGGAAGTAATGTAATGAAGACCAAATGATGCTCTAAATATAGAGTGCATTCAGTGGCACTGGTGTCCTCATGACAGTGAGATACCAGAGGTCTGTTCTCTGTCATCTATGTGTCATTTTATTATCTCATATGTACACACGGTTGTCTCTGTAGCCACCTACCTCTCAGTCCATGTCTATGCATACAGACGAGGCACCATGTGCAGGTGTAGTAACCCTTCTCTCTCTGCATACCAAGAAGAGGATGCTCATGGGACCAAATTGCATATGTTCTTTATAGATATGGGCTTCCATTGCTGAGAGAATCGACAGATCTTTTGTTGAAGTCCCTTTTTGCACCCACCACCCGCTTCTAACATGTCAAACACTGTGGCACCAGTGCCTTCAGATGTGACTTTCAAGCCACTGGTGAGCTCTCTCTCCACTAGTTCATTGTGTCAATAGTTGAATTTTAAACAATATGGAATCAACATCAGTGTCTATTGGACATGGGAGGGGCTCAGGTTCTTTCCTGGCTTAGGGCGCTCTGACCCCATGGAGAAATCATCCAGGACCCCTCGACTCTTGCATCTTTCATGGCTGCACAGCCAGTACTCACACACAGCACTGCCAGGTATGGCTGCCAGCTTGGGGTGGAGCGTTGTCCCATCAACCACACCAGCAGCAGCTTTGTACAGTGAAGCAGTGTCTTTCCTGGAGTAAGCAAATGTTGGGCTTTCTCTTTTCTGGGCCCTAGCTGAAACTCCAAACTGGAACTTAGTTGACCGGCACCTGGCCTGGAACGCACCCTCCCGTACTTCCACCGCAGAGCAGGAGCCTTCCCTCAGTGTCCCTCAGTGTCCCTCAGTGTCCCTGTGCCCTGGACAGTCACAGTCATTCCTCAACACTGAACTTCCTACTGTTCTTTTCTCTCCAAACACAAAATGTCAAACACTTGTCATTTATTACAGCCCCACCTGCTCTTTCGTTGTAGACCTCTGCACAGAGTCAGCATTAATAACCATTCTATAGACCCAATATTATAGCATGATTCCCTTACCCCACAAAGAAATTAATCCATCGCTTTTAAATTTAGCCTTTTGTAAGTTTTCAGATTAAGGACAGATAACACCTAGGTTCTTTCCAAGATATCACAGAAATGACCTCTATCCCAATTGCCAATAAAGTCCTTGCATCCCTCTGAAACTACATGAGCCAGAATCCCTACCTCTGCGTTGCTTTCAGCAGGACTGCCTTCCAGGATCCTCCCCCACTGACACCTGGGAGTCTGCCTCCCACATTCCTTGAATATATGTATATTCCTCCCTCTTCACTCCCTTTTTATACATATGTATCAAATATTTGCTATATATACTTCACACACACACACACACACACACACACACACACGCACATGAACACATGCTTGTAGCCAGGTTCTTCAGATAAGGAACCCACTCGCTGGTGAGAATTTCTGGATTATTACTTTTCTGTTGTCGTAAACACTGCAACTTCATTAATGAAACTCATTTGGCTTCCAACTTGACAGGGTTAGATGTCCATAGTGTCAGTGAAGGGACAGAAACAGGTGTTGGAAGCTAAGATCACATCTCTACTGGGTTTAAGAAGTGCAGAATTTTCTGGAAGGGACAAGGTTATGGATTCTATTTTCTTTTTTTAGCTTTATTTTATTTTACTGTTGAGATAAATTCTCTCTATGCCGCTCTGGCTCACATAGAACTCAATATGTAGATCAGCCTGGAATCCAATCAAATTCACAAGGTCCCCTACCTCAGCTTCTCCTGTGTTGGGATTAAAGTACGCACACTGCAGTAAACTGGGTTATAAACTCCAGAGGCCCACACTCAGGGACGGACTTCCTCCAGTAAGGCTGTGTATTCCATAACTTGCCAAATGGCAACACTAACTGAGGACCAATCATTCAAATGCTTGAGCCTCTGGGGTATCTTTTAGTAAAGACAGCCAGCACACTTCTACACACAAGCACCACACACAGGCGAACCACAAAGACAAAAAGAACCTGGTTTGGACAAGTAAAAGGTGCAGCATTTCCTCCCCCCATTGTAATTTTGTGAGATTGAAGAAGGAAGGAATAAAGGTAGTTGCCTACCGGATGCCATGACTGCGTCTGTTCCTCAGGACCGGCTATGGGACTTCAGATAGGTTTTCCTCACAACTCTCCACGTTCTCAGGCTGTAGGGAGAAGAGAAACAACTGTAAGGTGCAATGGGGACAGCTAAGGGAAGTCATGTGGGAGGGGACAGGGGCCCAATGGTTTCACCAGAGTGGGGGTAAAGGACCAACAATAGTCAGCCAGAGTTTCTCCTCCAGTGGGTCCTACACTGCTGCTTACAGATGCCAGTCATCTGGTCTACCCTCTCCCCTCTCCCTCGCCACGTCAGAGCCCTCATGCCCTGTATTGTCCATGGAGAATGTCGCCAGCTTGGGACATAGACGTGAAGGAAAACAATATATGATCTAAATACAGGAGAATTGTTAAGGGATGCTCTTTCAAGTCCTAGGTGGGCACATATGGGAACTGAAGGTAATAGCAGATGTTTTCTGTATGTCTGTGATACTCACGGCTCCTAATACACAACTCATTAGGTGACCAACATCCTCTATGTGATGAGGACCCACATGAGCCCCATTGTAAAGCTAACTGAAGATCCTAAAAGTTTGAAGACAAGGCTGGAGAGATGGCTCAGAGGTTAAGAGCACTGACTGTGCTTCCAAAGGTCCTGAGTTCAATTCCCAGCAACCACATGATGGCTCACAGCCATAAGTAATGAGATCTGGTGCCCTCTTCAGGCCAGCAAGCATACACAGACAGATAGAACACTGTATACATAATAAATAAAATCTTAAAAAAAAAGTTTGCTGACAACAGTCCCCCAAATTTCCCAGTAATGCTATACCACAGATCTAACTTGCTTGGCACCTCATTTTTTAAGGATGACTCCCCACGCCCTTAAACACACAGCAGGCTTCCTCCCTACCCCCATGTGACTGTGAGTGTCTTCTCACTCAAACCAGGGCAGGTTCCCAGTGACAGCTGAAATTCTTGAATGCTACACTGAGCTCCTAGGGTCCATCCCCTCTTTATGTCTGCAGGATCCTGCATCCCACCAGCGCTGGAGTCCTGTCAGTCCCTGCCCTGGCACATCTATTCCTCTGCCCTCTTCCTCAGTGTTCAACCTCAGGCCGTTTCTAATCATCATGTGAACAGCAGTGGAGGGATATTCTCTTGTAAGAAACGTCTGCACCGGGATTATTTTCTGTCAGATATTTCTAAAGGCAAAATGCATGGATCCTGTAGTATCTATCTTTAATTTTTTCATAACCTGAGGCTCATCGTTGTAGAAGTAATGTGTGAGAACCCACACTCCCATAGGCAGTGCACGAGGGCGGACATTCCCCTGGACTTCCTAGTGCACAGTAGCCTGAAACAGCTAATCTGACTGTACACGGAGAGGCTGAGGGAGGGTGGGGGCTGACAGTTTGGGGCCAGCTGAGGCTTCTCATGCAGACACTAGATCTAACTTAGGACCATCACCATTGAGGTTCGGGGTAAGGTTGCATTTCTATGTCTGTCAGATAGACAGAGAGGCATCCGTCAACTCCAGGGACAACTATAGTGAGGGCACATGCAGTGAGACCTGTAGGTGGCAGGGGCCTGAACACTCAGAACCCCAGATTCTCTAAGGCTTCGTGAAGGATATCACACTCTGTGGTTCCAATGACCTGTAACGTATGTGCTCTCTGTGCCCCTGGTCCCCTCTCTCTGGAGCCCCTCCCTGTCTTCCAAAAACTGACATGTCTACCCCAATCGTCCTCCTTCCCTTCTTTCTTTTGACAACTTAGGGACCAGTGTCTCTCGTGCCCTCTCTCCTAGTGCTCAGCCTCGCAGCAACCATAGGTGGGGAGCAGCCTGCGGGACTCAGAGGGGCAGGCAATCCAGCTCCCTCTATCAGAGGATTAACACAGGGACATGAGAAGTGTCACAAACCACATGTCACACAGCACTCAGAGTGAGGGAAACAACAGCTCTGACTCTGAACAGAAGAGAAATCCTGTGGATTTAACACTCTAGGTCCCTCTGCTCCATTAGAGCCCACTCTGTTGTTCAATCCGCCCCTAGTCTTAGGTAAGGCTGGGGTGCCATGATCCTGCGACTCTGCACTGAGCCCACGCTCAGTCCCCATTCCTGGGGCTCTTCCACACTTGCACACACAGGACAGCCTTGGCTTCCTCCTCTGTCCCCACAGGCTTGCAGGGGGCACCTGACGACAAGAAGTGCAGTCTCTCACCCACCTGTTCAGCCTCCATCCAGGTATCCTAGACAGGTCACTCTCTGCTATGCCCCAGTTTCTCCTCAGGGTCTGACACAGCCTAGTCACAAAGACCACATGAGTTATCACCCCTTAGTCATCCTGTATATCTTATTGAAAACATCATTCTCATTGGTCCAAGAACAGCACCCCAAGACAAGTTTTGGGTGTCCATGCAGCACAGGTTGATGCCCCTGTGTCCCCCAAACTCTTCCATTTTCTTCTTTTGTTCTGTATTTATATAAAATGTCAGACCTCGGAAAAAGGCTACCTTCCCTCTAGGGTCCCTGATCATGTCTTACTGACCAGCCAGGAGGGTCAGGGCCCAGGCAGTGTGTTGATCCCATCTGAGGGATCCCACACCTTCTCCTGGCTGAGGACAGAGGAATAGAGAGAAACAGACTCCGTTCTGAGTGCAGGTCCAGCCATACTGCTTTTGAGTCTGCAAACTGCACCGGTTTTCAACTTTGTTGAGTTCATCCATAAAATGGGGCCATAACCCTTCTCCTCCAGAGCACTTGGAAGGATAAATATGTGGGGACCAGGATCCTCAAACTCACCTAGGAATCTTCCCGTCACCAAGGGTTGGTGGGTCCCAGCTGTCCTTTGCTATGTGGAGCCAGTCACCAGCTTCATGTGTGAGACACAAACTGACTAGATCTAGGCTCTATATACCCAGTGCCTGAAAGTGAAAGAAAGATTTCTGGTTGTGGTCCCTCATGATAAAACAACCCAGCAGGCATGATGCCTGCCAGGCACCACCCTATTGATGACCCATGGCCAGGAGCTGTTATGACCAGTAACGACTCTGTCCTGGGTGAGATAAAAGTAGAGCCAAGAATTAAGGTTGCCGATGTGGCTTCAACTGGGTGTCCATTTCCAAAAAAAAAGGAACACATTCATGACTGTAATGATAAGAGAATACTTGTTCTCACAGCAGGAACCAAGCTTGTTTTCCAGGGATTTGAGGAGAGAGAATAAATTGGGACTCGCCACAGTCATGGGTACATTTCTCATGTATCTCTCAGAACTTTCTGATGAGGGGGAGGTTCAGAGTGATAGAAGGTAACTATAGCAGGACTTGGAGGAGAGGGTGGCCAGGGAGGAAGGTACCAACAGGAAGACAGTGAAGGGCCTTGCAGAGGGCACTTTTAGGGACAAGGGACATTGCTTCCCTGCTTGCTCTGACCTCAGGCTTCATGAGCTGCAGAGCTGTGCCTGGGTGTCCTCCACACACTGTCTGCTCTGAGGAGTCCATGGTGATTTTAGTGACTCTCTTCTGATTTAAACCGAACTCCCTCAACATAACAAAGATTGTGTGGCTACAGACAATTCCCAAAGTCAGTGTGACTGAAGGAAGATTTTCATAAATCCAGCAGCCAAGTGGGTCCCATGTACCCATCCCATTTGAAAACTCTTTCCTTGTTGCCTCTAGCAATTTGAGCAGATTTCTAGCTACACTTTATGATTGGTGGTCTCCTGGCCAAGTTTATCTTTGTAGGCAGCCCTGTTATATTCCAATGTGACACTGGCACCTAGTGTGGTATCTGTTGCCTGGTGACATCTGTCTTCAGGATCTTGAACTAGACCTGCCATGGGGGTTTAAAGCCAGTGAGGAATGAGAGTCAGCCTGGAGCCAGGGTTAGTGGAGCTCTTATGCTCTCAGCAGCTGACCCTGGGAGCTCTATCGATGAGGGGAGTGGGCATCTGTAGAGCACAGGCAATAGATGTGGGGCCTCACTAATGGCTCTGAGGGGTTTTGGTTTCCAACTGCATTGTAAGTTCCCAGGAGTAGTTAAGTTGGCCAAGCCTAAGACAACAGTCTTAATTAGCTGCTTGTGTCTTTCTGATAATGTCTTAGGTAGGATTTCTGTTGCTGTGATGAACACCATGACCTAAAGCAACTTGTGGAGAAAAGGGTTCGTTTAGCTTACACGGCCCTGTCATGGCCCATGATGGGAAGAAGTCAGGACAGGAACTCAAACTGTGCGGTAACCTGGTGGCAGGAACTGACATAGCAGTAATGGGTACTGATGCTTTCTGACTTGTCCCCAGTGTCTCTCTCTGCTTGAATTCTTAGGGCAGCCCACGGGTATTGCCACCCACAATGTGTTTCGTCCTCCAACATCAATCACTAATTAAGAAAATGCACTCCAGCCTTGTTTATGGCATGATCTTATGAATTCTTTTCTCAATTAATATTCCATATTCTCAGGTACTTCTAGGTTGTATCAAGATGACATAAAACTACGAAGCACACACACCAACAGCAAGCTACGAATGCCTCCTAGCCAATCTAAGGGCTATGTATTTTCTAGAATGATCCATTCATGGAAGTTTCCACATAGTTACAGTTTACCACAGAATCAGGACACACGTTAAAGCATCCAAGAAGATTCCACAGGCAGCTTCTGGGAGGGTTTTAAATTCGAAGCTTCTTGTCCTCAGGATGCAATCTGAAATATCACATGACTGCTGCACACCAGAAAGCTCACCCTAGAGGAAAATATTTATTCTGCAGCAGGCTCAGTCTCTTCAGGACCATTTCCCTAGGAGACAGAGATGGACCCAGTCTGCATACACACACCGAGAGCTGGGGCCTTACAGGTACCTGTCATTGAGGGCAGGGGACAGCATATCACTAACAGGGACACCAACAACAGATTAATTCTAGTGACACAGATTCATGGCAATCTTCACAAGGAAACCTCAGTGTCTTCCTCACGTCTAGAAGGTCAATGCCTTTCCTTTCCAGGGGACCCTGGGGGCAGAGATGATTACAGTTCCCCCACACTCCTTCTTTGCAGACAGGTAGTGTCATATCCTGCAAATGAGACCCAAGTGTAGCCTTGAAACCCACTAAGTCATGTTGACACCATGTACACATGGATTGGGATACTATCATACAATACTTTTAGACTCTGCCTGAACTGCCACCTGTGCCACAAGTATGGCTTCAAAATCTACTTCTATTGTCATGTCAATGTTGATTTGATCACCCAGGCAATGTGGTGATCCCATCTGAATAATTCCACATCCTTTCTTGTCCACAGGGCAGAGTAGGAGGGTAGTGTAGACACACCCTATTCGGACTGGAAGCCCAACCATGCTGGTGTTGAGCCTGTGACCACTGCCATAGTCTGTGTCTTTAACCTTGGTGAGTTCCTCCTAACACGGGGCCGTAAACTTTGTCCTCCAGAGCTCTTGAGATCCAGTTACTGCCTGCACATCTGAGACACAACCAGACCCAAGGCCTGGGGCTGATGGGTTCACAGCACAGGAGTGAAATGGAAGGTGCCCATGTGTGGTCCCTCATGATAAAACAACCCATCAGGCATCATGCCTGCATTGCACCACCCTCCTTGCTGAGCCATGGACAGGAGCTGATACTGCCAGCATCAGCCCTGGCCTGGGTGAGATAGAAATAGAACCAAGAATGAAGGTCGTAGATGAGGCTGGAGCTTGCTACTGTGATGGCATCAGAACGCTTGCTCACCAAACGAGAGACCTTGCTTTTCTTTGGTTTGCAGACAATGGATCGACTGGGGTCTTACCTTATTTATGGGCACACTTAATGAATACCTCTCATGTCATTTCTGGTGGTGCACGGGGTTCAGGAGACAGCTAAAGTAGTCTGGGGATGGAGGAAGAGAAGACTGCTGTAGCAGGACTGGGAGGAGAAGGTGGCCCAGGAAAAAGGGACCAAGAGAAAGGCAGTTATGGGTCATTCTGAGGGCACTTAAGTGGTACACGGGACATTACTTCCCTGCCTGCTCTGACCTCAAACTGGGCGGTAACCTGGTGGCAGGAGCTGACTCAGCAGTAATGGGTATTGATGCTTTCTGACTTGTCCCCAGTGCCTTTCTCTGCTTAAATTCTTAGGGCACCCCACGGGTATTGCCACCAACAATGTGTTTGACCCTCCAACATCAACCACTGTTTAAGGAAAGATGTTAGTGTCTTGCCTACATGTCAAAGCAACGCTGAGACAGCTTCATATTGGAGCATGGTTCTTATTTAGGTTTTTATCCTCTTTCTATGCTCAACTAGTTTGGTCCCATTGCTGAACTCTCCAGGCAAGCACAGATATTCCTGCAGGATGGAAGCCTTGGGGCAGCAGATGACTTCCCAGCAGCCAAGAGAGGGAAGACTCTCTGGAAAGGGGAAACCCTCATGACTCTTTAACACTCTCTGAGGTTGGAGTTTTGCTCATCCTTAGAGTCACCAGTGGACAAATATTTTGGTATTGATGTCACTGAGTGAAGGAATCTTATCAAGTGCCTGTCACCAAGGTGTTTGATACTAGTTTACACACTATTTCTGTGGACTAAGGATCATAGGCATCTCTGTTGTACCAAAGGTTCATGGCAAAATCATGAATCTGGGTTAATTTATTTTTGACAATATTTCGTTAGATTTAAGTTAGACAGGTGTTAAGGGCCCATGCTAGAGCTAAGCAAACTCTTTCTCATGCACTGGACCTCTGCTGTCACTGGGAGGAGGAAGCTGTTGGGTCTGATGCTCTGAAGATGCACACAGCACATATGGAAGTGACTGACCACAGAATTCTTCAGTAGAACGGCATGACAGGAAGAGGGCTTGGGAAGTTTTTCTTGGTCGAAAGTGAAACTTGAAGAGCCCCTCTAGATGGTCCCAGCCCAGTGACCATCTTTTCCAGGTTCACAGGGGCGGTGCTCTTTCCGATGTCGTGCCCAACTTCTCCAGCACTTTCTCAGGAATCCTGGCATCCTGGGTCCTGCTCTGACACAGCAGGGGCAGTCTGCTGCTCTCAGTAGCTAGGTTGTGGCTGCAAGCAGCAGCTGCTGCACGGTGGTTGTTGAAGAATCATGCCGACAGGCATAAGAAAGGAATTCGGCAGAATCCATGTGACCAACTGGCTCCAGCTCCAGCCTCAAGCTGTGTGGCAGACAAACTCCTCTTTTTGACCCTTTGTCTGTCAGGTGTTTTGTCACCGTAACTAGCAGGGAGGGGAGTTACCATGGAGTAGAGACAGGTGAATCTTATTGAGGTTGCGGCCAGCCTGATTTGCAATGCCAGTTCTAGGGCAACCAGGATTGTTACACAGAGAAACCCTGTCTCAAAACCAATGCAGGAAAGTTGAAGTGTGGCTAGTTGGTAAGAGGGAGGGGTCAGTGGTTGTAAGAGGGACCAAAGTGGGTAATTGTGCTCAATATGATCAAAATGTATAAAATACATGCGTAAAAATATAATAATAAAATCCTCTATTATATGTAACTTATATATGTTAATAAAACGCTTAAAGAATAACACAAAGAATGAAGAAAAGGACGGGAGCCCTGAGCCTTCATGCTTGCTCTAGCCTACGTGTGATGAAGAATCCCAGGTGTATCTGGTGCCGTGTTCCCTGACTCCAGCCTCTGGTAAATGAGCTACACAGAACTTTATTATTCCTAATTACCTAGTCATAGGCTTCATCCTGTCGTTGTCTCAGAACAGATGAAGAGATTTTTTTTTGGCCTCCAAGACAGTGTGACATTTTCAAGATGTCCCGTCTCTGCTGTCTCTCTGTAGAGATAGGATTTTTGGAGACACGTGTATGTGGCTCCATCTCTCATTTTCTGCAGCAGACAGTGTAGACAAGACATTCAGCAGTTAAACAACCCTTTTATAGGGGTTTCTTGAGACCACTGGATGTATCAGATATTTACAGTAAGATTCATAATTGCCCAGGCGGTGGTGGTACATGCTTTAATCGTAGCACTCGGGAGGAGAGGCCGGAAGATCTCTGTGATTTTGAGGCCAGCTTGGTCTACAGAGCGAGTTCCAGGACAGGCTCCAAAGCTACACAGAGAAGTCCTGTCTCAAAAAACTAAAACAAGCAAAAGACTCATAACAGCCACAAAATGAGAGTTCTGAAGTGGCAAGGAATAATTTTATGGCTGGGGTCACCATGACATGAGGAAATGTATTATAGGGTTGTGTGGACACCGCCAACCAAGCTCACCAAAGCCCAGCTCCTACAGTGTCTTCTCCCATCACCTTCAGTAATATCATGATGCCAGCGTGATCCTTCTCCCTCACTGAGGAGAACACATGACTGACTCACCCGACTCTGGTAGGAGCATCCTTGGGACCTTTGGCTGATGGACATGGCCTGTACTGGCATATGCTGCTAGTGTCTTATAGGAGGAATGAATGAACCAAGGCCTCTGTGAGGTGTCCCTGTGAAGCCTGTCTAAGGAAACCATGGCTTCCAAATGTTCCTTTCCTCACTGGCTACTCACTGACCTCATCGCAGCAGCCCAGTGGCTCCCGAAGACCCTGATGCGCATCCACCTGTCCAGAAGCCACTCCTCTGCTCTCCTCCCCATGCCTGCCTCTCCTGTTGGACACTGGGCATCCATAGCTCTTGTTGTGGGATGTGTTAGAACTTACAGTGACTGTGTGATATGGGCAGAAATGAAGGAAAGGCTTCTAAAGGAGTTCTGGAGTTAAAGACATAGGTGAGTCATGCTGGCCGACTGTCCCTTTCTCTTTCTTCCTGCCTCACAGGCTGTAGAACCCCTATTGCTACCTGGGGGAGCCAGCCTCCAGTCAGAACCAGGGTGTGCAAAACCAGACATGAATTCAGTGATGTCTTAGGAAAAATTCTTACCTATCTGAAGGGGGGTATATAAGGAAAAACTTGCTTTCTCATGGTATCTTTCTCTTTTACTTCTCTTGAAAAAAAATCCTCTCTGAAAATCTCTCTTGCTCTTCTTCATAGTTTCCCACAGCTCTCTGTGTAGCTCCACACAGCCTCTCCTCAATCCAAACTCTGGAAAATTGTATGTTACCTTTCCAGGCCCTGACTCATTCTCATAACACAAGGTAAGTCACAGGGTTTCTCTTAGGCTAGGGATACCACAGTTACTGTCCAGTGTGGAATACATGGCTATGTACATGGCTCTACGTTGGTGAGGGTCCTAGACAGAAAATGTCATTGAAATTCAGGACTTAAACAATAGCCAGTTAGCTGAACCTTGAGTGGTAGGGCGTATACCCATAAGGTCCATTACTATTGTCTACCAAAGTTGCTTCAAGTCTGAGCTTGAATCAGTAATAAACACCTGGGAATTCCTCCTTGTGTATTTGTCGCCAGGGGCAACCAGTTGCTTTGAATTTGTTCTGAAGTCTATAATTAGCTGTTTTTGTGATTCAAAACACAGTTACTTTCCTCTATCACTCTGAATACTGTAAAATATCTTTTTTTAAAAATATTTTTCATGGTTTATTTAACTTTATTTTATGTACATTAGTGTGAAGGTGTCAGATGTCCTGGAACTGGATTTTCAGACAGTTGTGAGCTGCCATGTGGGTGCTGGGAATTGAACCCGGGTCATCTGGAAGAGCAGTCAGTGCTCTTAACCGCTGAGCCATCTCTCCAGCCCTGTAAAATATCTTAACATTATTTCAATTTATCAAAATCGTCTCAGGTTTAGCAGAAATCATCATCCTGACCATCCACAGGTGCACGTGTGCCCAATATATGGAATATATACATGAGAGGAACACACAGGCAGTGGGAAGACACCCTTCCCGTTCTCAGGGAAGGAATGCTGTTCTTAGGGAGAAATGAAGTGGCACAAGAGAGAAGTTACAGACAGAAGACTGGTCACTTACATTCATTGACTCCGTGGCCTTCCCCGGTGGGACTCCCCATCAGAGTCATTCATCTGGTGGGTTGACCTACTGAACACTAATTGTCACCTGCTGTATGCTCCCATGGCCCCCTTCAGACCCTTAGACATGAGGACCATGTGTCAAACAGAGATGGGAGAACGGGCAGATGGGATAATGGGATGGAGTCTTGGGTGACTCCACACATGCCTAACAGCATCTGCACTGTGGGTCTCAGTCTTTCATGATCCTATAGGGCTGTGGATGTGCCCCAGAGCTACAGTACTTCCCAAGCATGCAGCACCCTGTATCTTCAGCGCTGAGATGGAGGAAGGCTCTCTTGGTTAGATCTGAACCTATCCCTTCTTGCCTTCTTGGATGACTGTCCCCTGGGTAGATGCTTTCAGGGATCTCTAATGCTGTCTGCCCTGTTCTTCTCCTGGAAGTTGAGGCATGGAACCTCTTTCCCCAGCTGTGCTGACTCTTCTTATTCTTGATTCTTCCTTTTTCATCAGCATGACTTTAGCTTAGCAGAGGAAACCACAGTGAGAGTCAGGACCATGTAAATGTCCCCTGAGCCACAGGCCAAACATGGTGGGGAATGGGTTGGAACATTCATAGACTTATTAACAGTCAGGTTGGGGCTATTGACTCTTAAGTCAGAAGTCAAGACAACCACATCCTGCCATCTCTAACTCCAACAACATAAGCAGATCTCATCCCTCCTGGAGATCTTGAAGATCTTCCAGGGAACTGTTCACCATGAACAGTGACATCACAAGACAGTCTTGCAAATATTTGCCAGCTCTGAGTTGTCTAGAGGAAACTTCAGCCAATTGAAATGTGATCTGAATCTGATTGAAGGTATCCTATTTCTATGCTGTATAAATATTAACCTTCCCATATGCAGGGGGTCAGCACAAAGGAGCCAGGCCACCAAGGTTACCCTACCCTATCCAGCACTCTAGAGAAGGGGGTTGGCTCAGATCAATAGTACCAGGCATGTGATTACTTGTAGCAGAGAGCATCTACCTTTCAAATGGCCTTCCATTCTGTAGAGACCTTAAAGGAGACAGGAATCTTCCATATGAACAGAGACATCGTGACTGGTGTAATCATCTGAGGAACTAAAACAGACAAACCTTCCGGGACCACAAGCACAGAGAAGCCAACTTCATGCCATACCGACAGCCCATTCTGAACCAGTCTGTTTCCCCAGAAGGAGTGAAATCCTTGAGCTCTCAAGGGTTTTGAAAATGTGATTCTCATCTTTGAGACCCTGAGATGAGTCATGACACTTCAAACACCATGACATTGTTGTCCTGTGGTGAAGGGAAGTGAGGAGAGCCGTGTCTAGAGGAGCCAGTGAGCCAGCATTACACAGGCTCAATGTGTCAGTGCAGGGGTCCAGCTTGGCCGGACTTCAGGTGTTTTGAGTCCAACCATCAAAATCCACCACAAGAAATCCCAGCCTGCTCTCCCTGCATGGGTCCCTGCCTCTGTAGTGGACTGTAGGTCTTTGTAAGGGGTCTCAAGTGCTGCCAGTGCAGGAACCAAGCCTGACATTGGTGGCATTAGCTGAGACTAGAACACTTTCACATTCTGGTTAATGCCAGGATTATCCTGCTCACCACTCCCTCTGAGAGCTGTGGCAGCCCACCGGCCTTCCTACCTTCCTCAGCCTGGTGTTTGCCCATATCTTTCTAACTCACATCGGTCTGATTTATCCTGACCACCTTATCTTTGGTCCCATGCCACCTTCTTCTGTTGTAATCGGCTGCTATATACTCCATTTTTCTAGACCACAGTTAATATTTATTGAACACAAATTATAGAAGACAAGAGGACAAAATCCAGGTTTTCTACACACTATTTTGGCCATCACACCTCCCCATAGTATGAGAGGAAGCTGAGGGTCACAGACTGAGTCTCTTGTCACAAACATGTTGACCGCCAACACAATTCTTTGTTTGACATCTTATGTAAATCTGCCTTTACTCTCTATCTCCACAGACCCAATAATGACACAGCACAGCACAGACATTCACATTGATGTCATTGGTCTCTCTGGTGACCCTGTCCTCTTGGAGGGCTGACTACTTCTCAAGAACTCCATCTTTTCTGCTGTCACCACCACCATCCTCAACATCATCTTCAACATCATCACCATCATCATCATCATCATCATCATCATCATCACTATCTCTATCTAGAGGTCACTGCCTGGACGACACAAGGGTGAGCTGATACTGCTGATGCTGGGAAGAATTACCTAGAGGTCATATGGACTCTGTCCACAGGGAACGGGATGTGGTCCCCTGCTATGACTTCAAGTCCACTCTGGCTTTCTCCCTTCTTCAGCTCTCCAGGTTTCCTATGTTCTCATTGCTTGTTCCTGTTCTGCTCTCCATATCAGACCCTCTGTATTGTAGTCCTATTCCCATTTTCTAGGCCATTCTGGCTCCTTATTTTAGACTCCAGTTTCTGTCTTCTTAAAGCACTGGCTATCGACGTTTACCTTGCTCTGCTCAGCCAGAGATATAAACTCCTCAACCCTCAGTTCCATAGACTTGATGACATGCTATTTCCCTTGTAACGGTATGCCCCCTCCCCATGTCCCTACCCCTGTACATGTCATTTCCCCTGAACTCTTAACTGCTTGGTGGAGGGATCACTGAGGCAGGACTGACTACAGAGCCTTGTGGAGCTGCTCAAATTCATGCAACTTCTCTTCTAGATTGTTAGCCAGCTCCTGTAGCGCTTTAGCTGACTCTGTCTTTGCCCCATTGTGTAAATCTATGGAGTCAGTCACAAGGTGATACACATCAAATCCAAATATTGAAACATTACCGACTCCTTTTGCAATCCTGGCTACTCTGGTTACTAGGGGAGTATCGTGTGATATGAGATTCCTCAACTGCCTAATAACTTGTCTAAAGGTTATAAAGTTCCTGGTTCTGCCTGTCCTGATGACTTGAATATGATCCCTGAGGGTTTTCTAGGCAATGAATAATTCCACACCCTTACTACTAACTTTGAATGTGATCAAAGGCATGATCTTCAAAATTCTGTCCAGTATGTCCATGCTGGCTCCAACCAGGTGCCTGGCTTCACTCTCATCTGCCATTCTGATGGATTCTTCCACAATGGTAGTGGTGACACCAGTCGCAGCTGCTGCTGCTCCTAGACCTGCTGCTGAGATCATCAGAGAGAACCCTCCTGTGAAGGGTGCCAGAATGAATCCAGTGATGCTGGTGGAGCCGGACACCACATGGGAGATGGTGCAGCCTCTGTGCACCTGGTCAAGATGGTCAGCCAGAGCTCGGAGCTTCCTGATGTATTCTTCAAGTTTCCCTTTCAACTCAGGAAATTCTTTCAGAAAATTCTCCTTCTCCTGCCTCTTTTCTGTTTTATCATTTTCATCTGCGGGCTCCTGGGCTAAATGCTTCTTCAGTGCATCACGCAGGGCAGTTCCCTCTGTGCTATGACAGAAGAGATCAAGTTCATGAATAAAACAGTTACTTTTTTGAAAGCTAAAACCTTGTTCAAACCTCACTTTCATACCACAGACCCAGCAGGATTAATGTAGCAGAGATCTGTAATCTGCACTCTACCCTGAGCATCTGGTACTACATAGACGCCCAGGGCCTTAGTCCATAGGGTCCGTGTGCGAAGTCAGGAAACTTGCCAAAATTAGAGGCACTGATAAAACGATTTCACTCAAGGTCAAGCCAATGCCATCACCATCTGTGGGAGCCCTGTGGATGAGCACTGGGACATGGGCTTAGAGCAATTACTCTTTCAGTCAGAGAACTGTGTGTGTTGTTTGAAATTCCTCTTTCATAAGAGTCTCTTCTCTATCCATGGTTGCCCTGAAGTCATCTGCAGCCCATGCAATATCCAGCCTGCAGGAATGCCTGTGTTTGCCTGGGAGGTCTGCAATGGACCATTCCCAGGGTGAGCCAAGTGTGGATTCCTCATTCTGAATGAATTTCAAAACTCCACATCAGTCCTCATGGGACACTACACAGAGACAGCACAACTGATTTGAAAGAATTACGTAAACCTCCTCCATCTCCTGTACACAGTGTCAGCATTCCGGGAGATTAGGGCCCCATGTGTAAGAAACTTCACTGTGTATCAGCAAATGTTTCAAAGTGGGAAAATGCAGGATCTGAGATCCATCTGTTCCCAAGAATTTCCTATGAAAATGCTTAATCTGAAAGATGTGGGAACTTTGGTGCCATTTCTGACCTGCAGAGGAACTGGAAGTCAAAACACTGACCTTAGCAAGATTTCCCTGAGGCCTGTGTCACTGGAAGTGATTTCTTATTGATGTCCATGTAAGGAATCTGTGGTCCTGCCCTCCTGACAGGGGTCTCTAAGTCCCCACCTCTCTCTGTGTACAGTATGGCTCCATGTTTGTCCCCTAGGTCAACAGTACTGAGCTATGTTCTCCTGGCTTCTTGGACCTACTTCAGGATGATGATTCTCTTCTAGGGTGGTCTTCCTGGTATATAGTTGTCATGTGATTTCCTGGTGTGCAGTGGTCATGTGACTTCCTGGAGTGCAGTGGTCATGTGATTTCCTGGTGTGCAGCAGTCGTGTACATTGTCACACATTCAATGCAGGACAACACTCCACACTGAGGAGAAGAAACTTGAAGCTTGAATCTCTCTCATTTTCATCTTCTCGATGTTTCCATTGGCTCATTTTAACCCTCTGTGCTCCATGGTCAACTGTTACTATGTGGCAACTGTCTTATATGTGTATTATTTGTGTGGTTTTTGCAAATTCTCCATCCTGAAGATCTGATAGGGAATTGCTTGCCATGAAGTGACAGCACAGGAAAGTCGTGCAAATGTTTGCCACCTCAGAATTGGTGATGCGGCCAATACTTTTGGTCCAGAGGAAACTTCAATCAATGGGAATGTGATCCCAATTCAATTGAAGGTATTCTAAATCTATTTTGTATAAGTTTTGTCTTGCCATGTGAAGGGGGAGGGATCAGCACAGAGGTGCCAGGCCACCGTGGTCACCCTACCCTCACCAGCAACCAAGAGAAAGGACTTAGTTCAGACCAACTTGACAAGGCAAGAGTTCCCCGTATTGTATACCATCTATCTTTCAAGTGATCTCCCTTTCTATAGAGAAAAGACTTTAAAGGAGAGAGAAATCTTCCATATGAACAAGTGACATCATGACTTGTGAATCATCTGAAGGATCATGACAGAAAAACTTCCCAGGACTCCTAAGCACAGAGAAGGCAATTTCATGCCATGCTGATGGCCCATTCTGAACCAGTCTGTTTCCCCAGAAGAGGAGACATCCTTGAACTCTCAATGGTTTTGAGAACATGATTATCATCCTTGAGAACCAGAGGCAAGTGATGAAACTTTAAGTACAATGGCATTATCCTGTGGTGAAGGGAAGTAAGGAGACCTGTGTCTAGAGGAGCCAGTGAGACAATATTACACAGGCCCAATTTGTAGGTGCAGGAGTCCATCTTGGCCTGACTTCAGCCTTCTTGAGTCCAACCATCAAGAGCAGCCATGAGAAACCACAAACTGCTCTCCAGGCATGACCCCTGCCATTGCAGTGAACTGTAGGGCTCTGTAAGGGGTCCCAAGTGCTGTCAGTGCTAGAACCAAGCCTGACATCTGCGGTGTTAGCTGGTCTCTCTGGGTCACCAACATCATCTTCATCCCCATCATCATCACCACCACTATCACTATCCAGAGGTCACTGCCTGGAGGACACAAGGGTGAGTTGGTCCTGCTGATGCTGGGAAGAATAACCTAGAGGTCATAGGGACCCTGCCCTCAGGGGAAGGGATGTCGTTCCCTGCTATGGCTTCAAATCCCACTCTGGGTTTCTCCCAACTTCAGCTCTCCAGGTTCCCTAGGTTCTCATTGCTTGTTCCTGTACTGCTCTCCATATCAGACCCATCACATTGCAGTCCTATTCCCCTTTCTCTAAGCAATTCTGACTTCTTATTTTAGACTCCAATTTCTGTCTTCTTTTTCTTCTTTTTTTTTTTTTAAAAAAAGATTTATTTATTTATTTATTTATTTATTTATTTATTATGTATACAACATTCTGCCTCCATGTATGCCTGCAGACCAGAAGAGGGCACCAGATCTCATTACAGATGGTTGTGAGCCACCACGTGGTTGCTGGGAATTGAACTCAGGACCTCTAGAAGAGCAGCCAGTGCTCTTCAAATCTGAGCCATCTCTCCATCCCCTGTCTTCTTTTTTTTATTGATATTTATTGAGCTCTACATTTTTCTCTGCTCCCCTCCCTGCCTCTCTCCTCCCCTTCAACCATCTTCCAAGGTCTCTGTGCTCCCAATTTTCTCAGGAGAGAGAGCTTGTGTTTTTTTACTTCCCATGTAGATTAGATCTATCTAAGTCTCTCTTAAGGTTCTCATTGCTGTCTAGGGTCTCTGGGATTGTGATTTGTAGGCTGGTTTTCTTTGCTTTATGTTTAGAAACCACTTATGTGTGAGTACATGTGATAACTGTCTTTCTGGGTCTGGGTTATCTCACTCAAAATGGTGTTTTCTAGCTCCATTCATTTTCCTGCAAAATTCAAGATGCCGTTATTTTTTTCTGCTGTGTAGTACTCCATTGTGTAAATGTACCACATTTTGCTTATCCATTCTTCAATCGAGGAGCATTTAGGTTGTTTCCAGGTTCTGGTTATGACAAACAATGCTGCTATGAACATAGTTGAGCACATGTCCTTCTAGCACGATTGAGTATCCTTTGGATATATACCCAAAAGTGCTATTACTGGGTCTTGAGGAAGGTTGTTTCATAATTTTCTGAGAAATCGCCACACTGGCATCCAAAGGGGTTGTACCAGCTTGCATTCCCACCAACAATGCAAAAGTGTTCCCTTTTCCCCACAACCTCTCCAGCATAAGTTGTCATCAGTGTTTTTGATCTCGGACATTCTTACAGGTTTAAGATGGAATCTCAGAGTTGTTCTGATTTGCATTTCTCTGATGACTAAAGATGTTGAACATTTCCTTAAGTGTCTTTCAGCCATTTTAGATTCCTCTGTTGAGAGTTCTCTGCTTAGGTCTGCACTCCATATTTTAAATTTAATTATTTGTTTGCTTGCTGACCAATTTCTTGAGTTCTTTTTATATTTTTGAGATCAGACCTCTGTCTGGTGTGGGGTTAGTGAAGATCTTTTCCCATTCTGTAGGCTGTCATTTTGTCTTGTTGACCATGTCCTTTGCTTTACAGAAGCTTTTCAGTTTCAGGAAGTCCCATTTATTTGGTGTAGGAGGTCCTTCTGTATTTGTGTTGCTTTCATTGGTTAATAAAGAAACTGCTTTGGGCCTGGTGATAGGGAAGAACTTAGGTAGGCAGGGAGACAAAACTGAATTCTGGGAGGAAGAAAGCAGAGTCAGAGAGCAGCCATGGAGGCACCAGGTCAGACATGCTAAATCTTTCCTGGTAAGCCATGACCTCGTGGTGAACACAGATTAATAGAAATGAGTTAAATTAAGATGTGAGAGTTAGCCAATAGGAGGCTAGAGCTAATGGCCAAGCAGTGTTTTAATTAATACAGTTTCTGTGTGGTTATTTTGGGTGTAAACTAGCCGGGCAGCTAGGATAAACAAAGGGACCCTCTCTCCATCAACATTTATTAATTGTTTCTCTCAGTGTCTGTGCTACTGGGGTTACATTTAGGAAGTGGTCTCCTGTGCCAATGCGTTCAATATTTCCCGCTTCTATGAGGTTCAGGGTGACTGGCTTTATGTTGAGGTCTTTGATCCATTTGGACTTGAGTTTTGTGCCTGGCGATAGATATGGACCTATTTTCATTCTTCTACATAGTGATATCCAGTTATGCCAGCACCATTTGTTAAATATGATTTCTTTTTTCCATTTGATGTTTTTTGCTTCATTGTCAAGAGGAGTTCCTGCCTTCTTAAAGCACTGGCTATCTACATTGACCTTACTCTGCTCAGCGATAAATAGAAACCCATTAACCTTCAGTTCCATAGACTTGATCACATGCTATTTCCCTTGTAACGGTATGCCCCACAGTCCCCACTTCTGTATATGTCATTTCCCCGAACTCCTAACTACTTGGTGGAGGGATCATTGAGGCAGGTCTGACCGCAGAGCCTTGTGGAGCTGCTCAAATTCATGCAACTTCTCTTCTAGATTGTTAGCCAGGTCCCGTAGCGCTCCAGCTGTCTGTGTCTTTGCCCCACTGTGCAAATCCATTGAGTCAGTCACAAGGTTAAACACATCTAATCCAAACGTTAAACCAGTACCAACTCCTCTTGCAATCCTGACTCCTCTGGTTACTGGGGGAATATTGTGTGGTATGAGATTCCTCAACTGCCTAATACCATGTCTAATGGTTGTGAAGTTCCTGGTTCTGGCTGTCCTGATGACTTGGATATGATCCCTGAGGGTTTTCCAGGCAATGAATAATTCCACACCCATCTTACCAAATTTGATTGAGACTAAAGGCATGATCTTGTAAATTCTGTTCACTATGTCCGTGCTGGCTCCAACCAGGCGCCTGGCTTCACTTTCATCAGCCCCTCTCATTGATGCTTCCACAATGGAAGTGGTGGCACCAGCTGCAGCTGCTGCTGCTCCTAGACCCAGTGAAGCTGCTGAGATAATCAGAGAGGCCCCTCCTGTGAAGGGTGCCAGAGCGAATCCAATGATTGTAGCGGCGATGCTGGTGGAGCCGGACACCACATTGGAGATGGTGCAGCCCTTGTGCACCTGGTCAAGATGGTCAGCCAGAGCTCGGAGCTTCCGGATGTATTCTTCAAGTTTCCTTTTCAACTCAGGAAATTCTTTCAGAAAATTCTCCTTCTGCTGCCTCTTTTCTGTTTCATCATTTTCACCTGTGGGCTCCTGGGCTAAATGCTCCTTCAGTGCATCACGCAGGGCAGCTTCCTCCTCACTGTGACAGAAGAGATCAAGTTCATGAATAAAAGAGTTAGTTTTTGAAAGTTAAAACCTTGTTCAAACCTCACTTTCATACCACAGACCCTGCAGGAGTAATGTAGCAGAGATCTGTGATGTACACTCTACCCTGAGCATCTGGTACTGCATAGACACCCAGGGCCTTAGTCCATAGGGTCTGTGTGTGAAGTCAGGAAACTTGCCAAAATTAGAGGCACTGATAAAGTGATTTCACTCAATGTCAAGTCAATGCCATCACTATCTGTGGGAGCCCTGTGGATGAGCACTGGGACATGGGCTTAGAGCAATTACTCTTTCAATCAGAGAACTGCATGTTTTGTATGGAATTCTCCTTTCCCAAAAGTCTCCTCTCTATCCCTGGTTGCCCTGAAGTCATCTGCAGCCCATGCACTATCCAGCCTGCAGGAATGCCTGTGCTTACCTGGGAGGTCTGCAATGGACCATTCACAGGGCAAGCCAAGGGTGGATTCTTCAGCCTTAAAGAATTCCAAACCTAATGTCTCTAAACTCCACATCTGTCCTCATGGGACATTACACAGAGACAGCACAATTGCTTTAGAAGCTTTGCATAAACTCCTCCATGTCCTGTACACAGTGTCAGCTTGACCTTTTTCCTTTGCTGCTCTTAATATTCTTTCTTTATTCTGTATGTTTTGTATTTTGATTATTATATGGCGAGGGGATTTTTTTTTTGATCTAGTCCTATCTGTAAGATACTTCACTAAATATCTGTAATATTTCAAGGTGGGGGAAATTATAGGATCTGCGATCCAACTGTCCTCAAAAATTTCCGATAAAAATGCTTAACCTGAAAGATGTGGAAACTTTGGTGCCATTTCTGACCTGCAGAGGAACTGGAGGAAAAAAGCACTGACCTTGGGAAGATTCCCCGAGGCCTGTGTCACTGGGATTGATCTCTTAGTGATGTCCATGTAAAGGATCTGCCGTCCTGCCCTCCTGACAGGTGTCTGTAAGTCCCCAGCTCCCTGTGTGTACAGAGTGGTTTCATCTCTATCCCCTAGCGCAACAGTCCTGAGCAGTGTCCTCCTGGCTTCTTGGACCTGCTTCAGCATGAAGATTCTTTCCTAGGAGGGGCTGCCTGTGTGCAGTAGTCATGTGATTTCACGGTGTGCAGCGGTCATGTGATTTCAAGGCATGTAGTGGTCATGTGATTTCATGTTGTGCAGTGGTCATGTGATTTCAAGGCATGTAGTGGTCATGTGATTTCATGTTGTGCAGTGGTCATGTGATTTGTAATGTAATGAAGTAATGAAGTACAACCCTGCATCCTGAGGAGAAGAAACTTGAATCTCTCTCATTTCCGTCTGATCGATGTTTCCATTGGCTCATTTTAACCCTCTGTGCTCCGTGGTCAACTGTTACTATGTGGCAATTATCTTACATGTGTGTTCTATGTGTGGATTTTACAAATTTTCAATCCTGTGTGGATTAGAGTAGTCCTTCATTAAAGGCTGGTGTCGAATATAAAAAGAAGGCTCACTGGGACTCTTTCCTCAGACTTTGTCATTTAGCCATTTCTGAGAATTTAAACTTAAATGTAAAACAAACCCTCAGAGGCACAAGAGACCTTCCAGATCCCATTGCCTGCTGTCTGCTCTCTGCAGATTGCTAAATTCCTTTTCCTCCCTGACTGGATCTCACAAGGTCAGTGGCTGCCTGAGGTGGCTGAGCCAGGACAGCTGCCATTAACCCTGGCTCCACACTGACTCCCACCCCTCACTGACTCTTAACCAGGTCTAGTCAGAGCCCTGCAAACAGAGGTCACCTGCTAACAGACACCACAGCTAGTGACAGCGTCACATTTGAACACAGCAAGGCCATGTGCAAAGATGCAAGGGGCCTGGAGACCACTAATAGTGACAAGGAGGCTGGACATCGCCTGAAGTTAGACATGGCCATAAGGGAAATATTTTCCTCTGAGATGGTGACATGCGATCCCCTCAGACTCTCAGGTTCTGCAAACCGTCCTCCAACCACATTAACTGTGGACTCTTGTCTCTAGCCACACATCCTTTCTGATACTCAAGGAGCGCTGTGTAGAACAGAATAGAATCTGCAATACCACCTGAGAACTTCTGGGCACACACAGCACGTGGAGGGTGTGCCCAAACACAATGCTGCACACCCATAAAGCATGAGGTCGGGGCCGAGGAGTTAAACACTCTTCTCTGTCTTGCATGTCTTCTGCTAGGCCTCTTCTCTGTGCCTCCAATTCCTCCATCCTTCCAGCCCTGCTGTCCTCGTCTTCTTTCTACACCTGCATTCTAGGGTCACTCTCAGTCTTTCCTGAACCCTGACTGACACCCTGGTCCTGGTCTCTGTTGGCTTTGGGAAGTGAGCTGGTACTTGGTTTCCGGTCCCTAGCCTGCTGCTCATGCCAGGCTGTCACCACCACATCCTATCAGCCTGCACTTTTATTCCTACTGAACACAGCTGGGGCTCCAGATCTCAGTAGCGACAGTCAGGGTCAACCCAGCTCTGTGCAGCTGCACTGTGGGCTCTCGGTCTCCTCAGTCCACAGAGGATCCTGCTGCTGTTACAGCTTCTCAAGTGGGAGGAAAGTGACCGAGACGGAACCTGAGGACATGGCTAACCATGCCTACATTTTTCTGACTTGTCTCATAATAAGTTCTTGATTCCTCAGTCCTGGCCCTGGTCTCTTCCCATTTCTAAAGTAGCTCTCAGTGATAACTTCCTGGGGCACCCACTGTGTACTGGTCACATGCTGACAGCTGCACACACATGATCTTATTTTCTCACACTGCAGTCTCATGGTGGTGAAACTCAGGAAGTGCTAACTAACTTGCCAAGGTCACAGAACTAGTAGATGACAGAAACGGTCCCCACTCCTTGAGCAACATCTTCAGTCAACCTGAGGTGATGTCCACCAAGAATAATACAGTGGAAACATTCCTCCTGGATTGTTGAAAAGAAATGTTCACAACTCCAGCCCCGGGACTGCCTAGAGTGGGTATGCCTGTCCAGAAAAAGCCTCATCCTCATGGTCTGGTGGGCAGTGCTGTGTGCACCATGCAGGTAACCTTGACAATGCTGCTGCCTCCACAAATTCCCTCCAGGCTCCGTCTTCAGTTATCAACAGCTTCAGATCGTCTCTGAGAAATTTGTCTGTGATCCAGGTAGTTATTTCTTCCACGATGCCTACTGCCGCTGTTCACAAGAAAAGAATGAGGTTAGAAGACAGTATGGAAGTAATTTAATGGCAAGTACCAGGAGGCGTGAGATGCCATGTTCTCATGCATTTGTCCATGGGTGCTAATGGAGTCTCTAGGGTAGGAGATTCAGTGATATCTCTCAAATTTATGATAGTCTATGCTGGAGAGGATGTGGAGTGAGGGGAACACTCATCCATTGTTGGTGGGAATGCAAACTTGTGCAGCCACTGTGGAAATCAGTGTGGCGCTTTCTCAAGAAACTGGGAGTCAACCTCCCTCAGGACCCAGCAATTCCACTCTTGGGAATATACCCAAGAGATGCCCTATCATACCACAAAAGCATTTGTTCAACTATGTTCATAGCAGCACTATTTGTAATAGCCAGAACCTGGAAACAACCTAGGTGCCCCTCAATAGAAGAATGGTTAAAGAAGGTGTGGAACATATATACATTAGAGTTTTACTCAGCGGTAAAAACAATGACATCTTGAATTTTGCATGCAAATGGATGGAAATAGAAAACGCTTTACTGAGTGAGGTAAGCCAGACCCAAAAAGAGGAATATGGTATGTACTCACTCATACGTGGATTCTAGCCATAATTAAAGGTCTTTGAGCCTAATATTCATGATCCTGGAGAAGCTAAATAAGAAGGTGAACCTAAAGAAAATCATATATTTATCCTCCTGTATATTGGAAGTAGACAAGAGTGCCAGGCAACCTTGGGTGCATGGGGGAGGGGTGTGGATGGAAGGGGAGAGGTTTGAAGAGAAGGGAGTAGGGGAGGATTGGGGAAAGCTTGGGGGATTGGGATGGGAGGAGAGGGAGGAAGAATGGATATGGAAGCAGGGAAGTATATATCGCAACTAAGGGAGCCATTTTAGGGTTTACAAGAGACTTGATTCTAGAGGGGTTCCCAGGTCCAAGGAGAGATCCCCAGATTGTTCCCTGGACAGCAGAGGAGAGGGCGCCTGAATTGGCCTTGGCCCATAACCATACTGATGAATATTTTGCATATCACCATAGAACCTTTATCTGGTGATGGATGGAGATAGAGACAGAGACACACATTGGAACACTGGACTTAACTCCCTAGGTCCAAATGAGAAGCAGAAGGAGCGAGAATGTGAGCAAGGAAGGCAGGATCAGAAGGAACTTTCATCCGACGATGGATGGAGATTGAGATAGAGACACACATTGGAGCACTGGACTGAACCCCCAAGGACCAAATGAGGAGCAGAAGGAGGGAGAACATGAACAAGGAATGCAGGACCGTGAGGAGTGCGTTCACCCACTGATACAAGGGGACTGATCTAATGAGAGCTCCCCAAGGCCGGCTAGACTGGGACTGAATGAGCACATGATCAAACCGGATTCTCTGAATGTGGCTGGCACGGGGACTGTCTGAGAAGCCATTGATAATGACACTGGGACTTGTTTCCTCTGCATGTACTGGCTTTTTGGGATCCTAGTCTGTTTGGATGCTCACCTTCCTAGACCTGGAGGGAGGTGGGAGGAACTTGAACTTCCCACAGGGCAGGAAACCCTGACTGATCTTAGGGCTGGAGAGGGAGGAGGAGAAGAAATGGGGGGAATGGGAGGGTATTTGGAGGAGGGGCGGAAGTGGAAACTTTTATAAATTAATAATAAAAAAACAGGTGTCAAGCAAAAACTAAAAAAAAAGCTCTTCACATCAGCAACTATATTTGGAGACAGAATCTTTAAGTAAAGTAATGAAGACCAAATTATACCATGAATATCGGGTGCTACACAGTGAGACTGGAGGCCTCATGACAGGGATTACCAGAGGTCTTTTGTTCATCATCTCCCATCATTTTATTATCTGTCATATATATATGCATATGTCTCTCTTCCTCTGCATCTCTTTTCCACTGTGACCCTGCTTCACACATACAAAGAAGACACCATATGCAGACATCATGACCCTGTTTCCTGTGCACACTTCCAAGAGGGTGTTTGCTGGGACCCACTTTCCATACATTCATCATAGACATTGCTTTCCATGACTGAGTGAAATCACGGGTCTGTAGTTGAAGTCCCTTGTTCCATCCCCCATGAGCCTCTGACTTGTCAAACACTGTGGTAGCAGTGCCTTCACATGTGACTTTCAAGTCATTAGTGAGAGCTGCAATATTTTATTGTGACAAATAATGGAATTTTCAAATAAAATGGAGTTAACATCAGTGTATACTGAACATGAGAGAGCTCAGGGCTCCTGGAAACCAAGACATTTCCAAGCCCTTTACTCTTGAATATTTCCTGTCATCAAAGCTAGGACCACATAGACAACACTTCCAGGTTTGACTGCCAACTTGGCATAGACCCTTGTCACAGTCATTCACACTAACAACAGCTCTTTACATGGAAGCAATGGCTTTCCAGGAGCAAGAAAGCTCTGGGCTTTCTCCATTCTTAAACTCAAGCGTAGGTGAGCATTCTGGTCCTTGCCTAGAACGCATCCTCCCATTGTCCCACTTCAGAGCAAGAACCTCCCCTTAGTGTCCTTATGTCCTTGACAGTCACAGTCATTCTGTGACACTGAGCTTTCTAGTTTCCTTTTCTCTCCAAATGCAAATTGCCAAGTATTTGTCATTTTCTACTGTCTGAATTGCTCTTTTCATTGTAGACCTACATAAGGAGTTGCCATTAATAACCATCCACAGACTTAAAATTATGCTCTGTTGACCTTTTCCCCACCAAAAATTGCTCCATTGCTTTCTATTTAGCCTTCTGTAAATTCTCAGGACATGGACAGAAAAGAAACCCCAGATTACTTGCCAAAATATCACAGGAATGAACTTTGGCCCAGAAGTCATTAAATTCCTTGCTTTGCTCTTAAACCTCAGAGCAAGTCACCACAATTCTATTTTGCTCTCAGATCTACTGTATTCCAGGATCCTGCAAGTTGAAACATTGGGCTATGCTTACAGTATTCAACTCTATTACTATTTCAAAGTTCCAAAGTCTCTGTAATTTCTTCCTTACATATTCCTCTATCAGCCTTCTGTCTGTCTGTCTGTCTGTCTGTCTGTCTGTATGTATGTATGTCTATGTATAGATATACCTACATCTATCTGTTTATCTACCTATCTAGAGCCATATCTATCTACAGATATATCTATATTATCTATACCTAGTCTTATACTTCACAGCAAGAGCCCTCTCTAAGATGCTATCTCCTGCATTAGTTTCTTTTCGGTTCCTGAGATAAAAACCAAGATAAGAATACATTATGAAGATTTGTTTTGGCTTCAAGTTCCCCAGGGATCGATTTCTATATTGAACGAAAGAGACAGAAGTAGGTGATGGAAGGTGAGAGATCACATATCAACTGTACCTAAGATACATTGAATGTCCTGGAAATGGTCAAAGCTATGAACTCGATTTTAGTTTGCTTTATTGTTTTTTCTATTTTGGAGATACAGTCTCACTCTGTATCTGATCTGTAGCCCTGGCTGATCTAGAACTCACTGTGTTCACCAGGCTGACCTCAAATTCACAGAGAACTACCTACCTAAGACTCTCAAGTTCTAGGAGTAAGGCATGCACACCACACTCAGCAGGGCAATAAACTCTAAAAGCCTTTACACAGGGATGGACTTCCTCTAGTATGCCTCTATATCCTAAGACTTCTATAACCTCCCAAAATCACAACACCAACTGGAGACCAAGTATTAAAATGCATGAGCCTCTGAGATATCATAGAATCAAGACAGCACCCTTATACACACACTTATATGCTTAAATTCCTTTTCCATTGGAATATTTGTGATCTGGAAGTAGCCTGAGAAGAAACTGATTACCTGATACCACCATGAGGACGTTTTGGTTCAGAGTACAAGGATTTCTGACAGGTTTTCCTTAAGACTCTTCAGGTGGCTAGGCTGGAAGGAGAGGAAAGAAGAGACTGTAAGATGTAATGGGGACAGCTGCAGGGAAGGGAAGGTTGGAGGGGCCAGAGACCCAATGGTTCCACCGGAGTGACAGTAACGGACCAAAGGACTGACAGTCATAGTGCTTCTCCTCTGGTGGGTCCTGCACTGCTACCTCCAGATGCCAGTCATCTGGTCTACCATCTCCCTCATCCTGGCCAAAACAGCCTTCCTGCCCTGTCAGAGTCCAAGGAGAATGTCACCAGCTAGGGACAAAGCCATGAAGAAAAGCAATATAAAATCTACACATAGGAGAAATGGGAAGGAATCTTCTGTCAACTGTTTGGTGCAAACACATGCGAATTAATGTTAATAGGAGAGATTTATTGTATGCCTGTGACACACAGGGCTTCTTTTGCCATAGGGGATGCTGGGAACTTCCCCTCAGAAGTTCCCAGCATCCTCTATGGCAAAGTCCACTACTTCATGTCTTACTCTCATGGCTCCTTTCATGGAGGGGCCAAAGCCTTCTGCTCTACCAGAGACCTGCAGCCGGAAGACTGTGGGAATTTGTTGCTTTGTCCCAGAAGGGAATGAGAGGAGCTGAACACAGGGGCCAACATAACCCTCTCTTATGGGGCCTATTTCACCATGATGAATGTCACTGGGG